ACCTCTCCAAACACGAGCCAAAGATGGATGACATCAGCCTAGGCCGAAGATGGATGCTTGACTTGCACCAGCCCACTGACCACTGCCACTGTGGGCGCCGTCTCGCAGGAGATCTTGAGATTCGAACGTCCCATCGAGATTGATTTCGGTCCGCTGAAAATGGGCCCGGCTTGCAGTTTCACCTCCGGTTCTAGGTGGTTTGAGGTTTGCCCTTTCCCACAGACCACTTGAATTGAGGGATCATTTTGAGTCCAGAAAGGAGCCCTCAAATTGCGGGGTTGCCTGTTTGCTTCCCAACACCGAGCCAAACGTGATTTTGGCCAAAATCTAGTGTGACCTTGGCAATGCACCATTTAGCAAATGACTTGTAAATGCTGATGGGGAGAAGGTTGCCCAGACAGGCCAGGTGCGTGAGAGTCGGCGTGAGGCCCTCAAGATTGCGATTCAAGACCCCCCAACACCGGACCAGTGCCCCACTGGCCCCACTTCTTCAACTCGTTTTGTTGACTTCAGCCACCAAAACACGTGCCCGGAAATTCTCATGGCTGGGTTGGACGACACTGGGGCTGAGCCCAGCAAGCCTTCGCACAGCTCAGCTATCACGACTTCGGAATACCACTGCCAGCGCTGCCAGGCTGTTTTCCACGTCTTCGCAAGTCTGCCTTGGGGTAAAACGAGCAAACGCCTGGATTCGGGTCCTTCGGGTCAGGACCTCTGCATCTGCCCGGTGGACACGTATCGCCCCTGCTGGGACGTGGACGCTGAGAATGGCACAACATTGAGGTCTCAATGCACATGCCCCACATCCTTCTACTTGCCAGCCTCGCAGGCGAGGAACAACATGCGCACACTTTTGGCGAGCGCCTTTTTTTGGGCTGGGTTGAACGGGCGACCAAATGGAAATCCACAGGTTCCGTAGTTTAGTTGGGGTTTCAGTTTCTTTTGGGTTTTGAGCCAACCGCAGGGTGGATAGCAGACCCAGTTAGACCCGGTTTCCTGCAACAAGGAGGTTGTTGACGCGTTGAGACGTGCCTGAAAAAGCGGCCCCCACCCTGGAGGCGAGCAGGTGCGTTGCCTGCGCGAACGCCATGTATCTCGGCTGCTCTCTCTCTCTCTCTCTCTCTCTCTCTCTCTCTTTTGATGGGAAAAAGGACCCCCCCCCCTTTTGTATGTCCTCCATGTTGAGAGCTCGTGGCCAGGGATTCAGGAATTCCTCGGAAAAAAGAACAAGCTGGTTTGGTTCATGAATGTTCGCTCAGGGTCCTTGATTCGGGTTTCATCAAGATCATAAGTTTGGCAGATTTGCGGCGACAATGTGGACACGGGCCACAATGAATGCATTGTTTGACCTTTGGACTTGCTTTGGCAGCTCGTTTGTTCGTGAACATGTCACGGAGCACTCGCGTTTTCCATGAAGAGCTGTGTGCGAGCCGGCTCAGGCAAAATGATCTCGGGGAGGCAAACCCTCAATCTCACCTCTGAATCTTACTGTAAACACAGCTTGGAGGGACGCCAAGCTACAGCCTCTTCAGGCATCAAGACTTTCTCAGGCTCCATCGCGTTTGATTTTTCCTCGCGCTCAGGTATTGCTCGGAGGGCTCCGACGAGAAGTTCTTGCCGTGCAACGACGCCGAGGTTTCGAACTCCACGATGAACCCCTACCCCAAGCCCAACGAAGGGTACATGGTGATCTTGGAGGAGCGTGCAGTCTGCGTGGTAAGTGGTTGCTTCCTTGGCGCTGCTTCCTTGCGGGGGTCGGAAACGACAACCAAGCGAACGCGTGTAAAGCTTTGCGTATGTCCTGTTTCGTGTTGGAGGTGTCACTCTGCTGGACGCAGTTCAGGGTGCGAAAGATACTAGAAACCGGCGAGCCAGGAAGTTCCAGGATAGTAACGCCACCGAACTCCAGGCATTCGGGCTGTAGAACTATGTCCGAGAATATTTCGCCCTACGCGCACTTGTTTTTTCAGTCCCAGTGGGGCGGCCCTACTCCGTGAGATTGTAGATGGCACGACTCCACTGCATGTCCAGTGACACCCCAGACCTCCGGTACTCCAAACAGGCAATTCTTTTTCCGGGGAGCTGGGACGAATGTGTCTCCAACGCCCCGAAATGGATGGCTTTCATTTTGGTCAACCCCAGATTCAAAAGGGAGAACCCATGTGATGACGACTTTGGCAGGCATCTGATTTGTCGGTGGAGGAGCTAGAGAGTTCACGATGAGAGAAACTTACCGTGCTGCAGGAGCATGCGCTAGAAACAACACTTTGCGAGGTCTCCAAAGTGCAGGGATTCACGTTGATTCTGTGCGTTCTGGACGGAGAGTGCATGTTTGGGTGCGCGTAGTGCTTTGGCGAAATGCTCGTGTGTGTGTGTGTGTGTGTGTTGATGCACTCCAATGAAATTAGACTTAGCCTTTAGCTGCTCCCGAAAAATCCACGGGTTCCCCTTAGCGTAGACTCTGTAAACGGTGTTGGGTCATCCTTTGCGAACTAGCTGTTTCTTTCTTCACATTTCTGGATTCCCCTGAACAGCGGTCCTTGATTCCCTTGAACCGCCTTTTCACTTTCATACATTTCCGCCTTGACTTGTTTGGAGCAGGGTTGTTGCTTGACCTTAAACCACCTCTTTGCAAAACAAGCAGACTACGTGTGTTGAGGGCTGTTCAACAGCTAGCACCCACTCTCCTGGGCCAAAAAGGCAAGAGCAACCCTGGAGGAGCCTTTGAGCGTGTACAAGTGCATGAACAACGCCTCTTGCCCAGGCTTCGCGCGCCTTTTTTGGAACAAGTAGAACATGTAGAGCTGCCTGCTGCCTCTTTTTGGCGCGGTCAGGGAAAAAGTGGCCTTTTGTTATGGACCCTTGGGGGTCTATGGAGTCCGTAGGCCGAGGATGAAGCTTAGCGAAAATCCTCGGCGCCTTCACCATGTAGCTTTAGACGATGCCTCGTTTCAGGTGTTGGAGTCGTAGGTCGTAGCCTGAATACCTTTCAGCTGGTAAACCTGCCAGCGGACTTCGGTGGCGCGATGTGAACCATGGAAGATGAGCGTCTTGGGCATCCTCGATCTCGTGATCATCATGCTTTGGAATGGGCCAGCGGTTGCCACCATGGCAGGTTCACACCGGATTGCACGCAGCAACCGGCTGCGGATCCGATCGCACAGGTTCCAACTCACATGCAGGCAGTGTGGTGAATGCGCAACTCCATCGAGCTGGTGGTGCGCCAGCTCGTATCGCCCTGTGTGCGGCCAGCTCCCGATTCCTCATGCGCTGCTGGACAAGCATGCGGCAAGCGAGTGAACATCGCCTATATGCGGGCCCGAGATCCGGATACTCCAAGACATGCTGGGCGCGCGTGCATGCATTGTGCGGCCTTCAGGCGAGGCTCCCTCTCTACTGCACAGTTGGGCAACCTAATTGCTTCGCGGCCGGTGTGTTTTCAACAGCGCTGGCTTCACTGATGCCCGCCTCCGATCGAGTGTTTTGCAGGATGGCCAGCTTGAGCGATGGGTCCAAGGAATCACATATCAATCAGCAGGCGGTGTGTTATCAGCGATGCGAGTGGCAAGTGTAGGGCAAGGGTGCCCTGCGCCAGGAGTACTTGCGGCCGATACTGTGCGCGCTGCGGTGAGAATGGCAAGCAGGTTGCGCAGCTCAGTTCCCTTCGGCAAAGCTTCGGCGAAGCCCGTCACCAGGGTGAAGTGGCGAATGCTTTGGCAGGAGCTGTCCACCAAGCAATGTCCCCCTGGCAGTGTCAATAAAAGCAGGGCATGTTTGGGTCAGAAGGGGTCTGACGGGATTTGATCGTTTCTCAGCCCTGGGACCGAGGCGACTTTCCTCTAACATCTGATCGTCAACGAAGAAAGTTCAACTCGAATCTCCGTTCCTTTCGAATAAAAGCAAAAATCCACTGGATCAGTCCTGCCCAAAGCCACAAGCCAAAATAGCGCAAGTAAACCAAAAAACCTCGCCAAGGAACTCTTGAACAATTGTCTGAGGAAGGTTTGTTAGGAAGGTTTGTTTTTGTTGGTTTCGTTTTTTCTCGGTGGTTGTTGTTTTGTCTTGGCTTGGGGGGGCAGGGCTGATCCAGTGGAAGGACTGTCTGAGGATTGCATTTGTTACATATATACATATATATACGCCCATAAAATAAGTGTTATCTATATTTATATATAGGTACATGGTTGTGTTGTAGTCTGGTTTTGGTTTTGTTGGTCATGTTTGTAGGAGCCCGGAAATGCAGTAAAGAACAGCAGAAAGACTGCAATTTATACATACCCCAGCAACAAACACAAAGAAACACACTCCTACAGGCCCCTTTGTAGAGTGAGCTTCTGATAGCCTGCGCACGCTGGTAGCCCTCGACTTGCCCTTTTTTTTTGTTTTTCTCCGAGCTGCTTTGCAGATCGTAACCGTGGGCTTGGAGGTGAGCTTGGTTGAAGCTGGTGGCACTGTTTTTCGTCTGCTTCTCATTATAGCACCAGTTAGTGGGTGGTTTATCCCAACGTTCGAGTTTTATTATTTGTTAGTTGTTGAAAGTGGGTTTTGTCCATTCGCAGGAGTTCTCCTGTGGTTTTGAAATCAGGGTCCGTTTCAGTGCTTTCAGTTTTCGAGTCCGAGTGCCATGTGGCCATGGGTCAAAATCCCGTACCCCCGGTGAACATCCCAATCCAACCACTAAAATAGATTCTAGAATGGGTGGCGCACCTACCCCAAAACGGGATCCCATTGGCGTTGACCAGCCATGTCTTTCCCCGTGCCCATGTTGATTCCCATGGGAACACCGGCCGACTTGACTCGGCCGCAGGCGGGTTTGCGGAGAACTGCGGGAGCGGGCTGAAAGGGGTGGCCTGCGGCGCCTGCGAAGCGGGATTCTACAAGGCGTCAGGCGAACGGAAGCAACATCGATCGTGAAACAAAGCTCCCAAAATGGATGGCTTTTCTTTGGTTTCCCTTTACACCTCTAAAAGGACGAGCCTCAACAGAAATCCACACCTGCTCCTGGGTGGAAAATTGAGGGACTTGCTTTTGCGACAACCCTCACCTGCTCAGCCTGCTCCTCATTGAAGCCAAAGAATCTAAGCCGCGACTAAAGGCGGTTCGGGTAGAGGAAGGTTAGAATGAGCACAGTCCCCCTCTGGCAAACATGTGCTGGAAGAGCTGCCCTTGATTCCTCGCATTTTGTTTTAAGCATCATACTTTGATATTGTGACTCATTCGGGATTCGGAGGATGAACGGATGCCTGTTTTCCCAAGTCGGCTTAAAATCCCTCCAAACTTGCGCACCCTTCAATTCAACCAGGGGCGGGGCTGAATGAGTTCTTGCGTATAGAGATGCGCAGGAAGGCTGGCGATGTCATCGTTCAAGGGAAAGGGTCGGAGCCCATGTCTGCCACATGCAATCGCCATCTTTCCTCACGTGGCCACGTGGCCCCGCGGCCGGCATTCTGATTGAGCGGCTTGTGGCCAAGGTCTGGCTCGAACGCATTTTGGCCAAAGCCAATTCGACAGGGCACAAGACTGAAAGCTATTCTCTCATGGGTTCCGATCGCTTGCACAGGACAATCATGTGTGTCAACATTCCAGAGCCCGTTGTTAGATCGGACTTTCCGAGCCATGTCCCTTTGTGCAAAAGCGGCTTCATTGGACCCCGCAAGTAGATGGCAACTTAAGGGGAAATCCAGTGAGCCCTGAACGTGACCGGGTCAAATGGCTGGCCAGGGCAGTGCGAGCCGTGTGGGGAGATGGAGAAGCACCCACTCTTCCTGATCCTGCCGATGCTCTTTTCCCCCATCCCGGTCTTCATCCTCTACAAGGTCTCCCAGTCCCCTAGACACGTGGTACAATTTTTTCGTCGCTCCGTTTTTGTTTCTTCTTCAGCCTTTTTTTTTTTGCAGAGGAGAAAACAGTTGTGTTCTCAGTTGACTTGTTTTTCTCCCATCAACTTTGATGGGGGCTAAACAAAGTTCATGATTACCAATGTGGGTATGGGTCAAAATCAAACCATCAGGGGACCGCAGGTTTTAGTCTTTGTTTCCATTTACTAGGGTTCCATTCTGGGGTTACCCTATTTGTTTTGACCCACACCCAGTCTCCTTCAAAGGCTAAGTTTAGAGACCCAAAGTTGGCCACCCGTCGCTCCAGTTTTTCCCCGTGAGGTCCGATGTCCAGGTCTGGGGCCGAACACAACAAGGCGCGGATCCAGATTCGACCAGACTTCGGGATTCGGAGTCCATCGGAAGTTCGAGATGGGGAGAAACTGTTGGGTATTTGGAATTCCTGGTGGTTTAAAACGTGCTGGGGAGAAACCTGCGGTCCAATTCCTCGTTTGTTTTTTAGCCACCAGGAATTGGACCGCAGGTTTTAGTCCTTTCCTTTCCATTTACCGGGGTTTCGACAGCCGCCGATTTTTGAGCCAGAGCCATTTCATGTCCGCTTTTGAATTTTGGGTATTGATCCGCTCGTTCTGACCCCAGGCTTTGGTGGCGTCGGCTATTTGCTTCTGGTGTATGCGCAAACCATCTCTGTCATCCTCGCTGTCTTCCCGTCAGTGCCTGTGGACATTGCCAATGGCTTCTCGAACAGTATTCGACAGTTGCTTCGGCTCCCCGAATGGTTGGGACTCCAACCAAACTGGTCAAGCAACCCTTTGGGTGGAGCAACCCGTTTGGGTGGTTTGACCCCCTTCAAAGGTAAATTGGAAACCACGTTGAAGCCCTAACCACCACTCCAAACCATCGATTGGGAAGCTGAAAATGGGCTGGCTTTGGCTTCCCTTGAAACTACCGAGGACCCACACAAATGGGTGGGTGTCCTTTTTGATTTCCCAACAAGCCAAACAAATCCGCAAATGGCCCACTGAAGCACGGTTCCCTGGCGAGCTTCGCGAAAACAACCAGGAGGGAGGGGATTTGCGGCCGGCCAGCTGGAATCCCCCGTGGTGCCAGCTCGGGTTTTCCTTGGGTGAAACAAGTCTTGAGCCCCTTGAACCGATTGAAGTTGAGGTTTAGGTGGGTTTTGGGCCGGGTTTGAGTATGGTCGAAAGCTTGGGGCGTTTGTATGTCCCTTTTGGAAGAATAGGACATTGCAGTTTCAAGGCTGTTCAAAGAGGCTGCCAACGGAAGTGGTGTGGTGCAATGCTTGCAGTGTTTCTGCACGTGGGTTGGTTTTCGCTTGGTGTCCTTTTCAATTCACCCCCAAGGGAGCTGTGAGCTCCCTCAATGATGCTTGGCTTCTAGTTTTCACCCAGCTGAAACAGTGTTTGGGAACAAGTCGGGTAACTCGGATGTTTCACTTGCCTCTTAGCCGTTAGACATTTCTTTTGACGTTTTCTTGTTTTAGCGGGATATACGAGATACCCGCGCATCCCACGAACAGTTGGCCTTCAGCAAGGAATCGTCAAACCACTAAGTTTTAAGCTCAATTTGAAGCATCACCCCTTCCCCGTGAGGGAGCGCAGCATTTTCAGGGTTCAGTTTGACAAGGGAACTTGGGCCAGAGCCAAAGCTGGGTAGATGAAGGTTAAGAAGTCATCCCCACCATAGATGGGTTTCACCTTTTTGTGCGCATTGTTTCTGGACCGCTTTCGTACCCTGCTTTGAGTATGACTCAGGTGTGGCTGGATTGACCGGGAATCAGGCGTTGGGAAACCGAGCCTTTACTCACGGATCAAGGGACTTCTGCAAGCTTTCAAATCTTCCGCTGATTCTGAGGTATGGGTTGGACCGCAAGCTCGGCGGAGATCACTTCGCTCTTCCGCCTCGAGTGCGCAGGCGCTTCGTTGGAATTTGTTTCGAGGCCGCCCGGTTTGGGAGGGTTTAACGGGAAGTCAAACATACACACTCTCTCTCTCTCTCACTCTCTCTCTCTCTCTCTCTCTCTCTCCCTCGTTCTTTCTTCTTTTTTGAGGTCGGGGTGACTGTTTTGAGGCAACCCATTTCTTTGCATGTTGGTTGAAACTTTGGAATCCTGTTTGATTTGTTATTTGCCTTGGTGTGGTTCACCTTTTTTGTTTTCTTCCCGTCCGACGAAGCGAGCCACATCATGCAGCTAATTAAACTGGCCACATACCAGGCTGGTAGTCAGGGCCCATTTGAGCCGAATCGAATCTGAGCAGTAGGTGATAGTGATCATCCTGTTGGAAGTTGCTTTCCTCCTTGAGCTTTGGCCATGATGGCAGGCGGCACACTGCCTGTACGCATCTTGAAGTCCTCGGGTGCGAGGCAGCCACATCTACGCCCAGAAAGCTTCCAGGCTAGGCGCATGTGCTCGCGTGCGGCTCCGCGTGTTCCCCGTGGCCCAATGGCCCTGGACAGCCACACCAACCATAGCCAAAACAGACAGGAAGATGACGTTGCCCGTGCAAAGCTGGCAACCTGCAGCAGTTCAGCCACTCAAATGGCTCCCATGTAGAGTCCACCCATCGCCTTCACCTCAAACGCGAGGGACACTCCATGTCTCACACGGACCCGCCAGCATCGCATGTGTGCCCCCTTGTTTTTGCAGAATCGACACCTCTTGAGGAGGATGGCCTGCTGGTCAAAATGATGACCACTGACATCACAGAAAGCACTTGCCTTCTTGCATTTCCAATGCCTCCAGGTGCGTCTGCAAATCGCCTGCTCTGCGCCTCGAGCAAAAGATTAAGCATGATCTCTGCAGCCACGACGCGGCGCTTCGCGTGTAATAATGTGCTCACTTCGCACGCCAACCATCATGCTCGACCATCCGATCTTTCCACTTCACGGGACAACTGGGACGGTTGCCTGCCCGCAATGCCTGCGGCGCTGCAAGTGGACCACTCGCCGCTGAAACGTATTGCACACATTTTGTTTGACAGAAAATGATACCCGTGCAATCGCCCGCAGCTTGTCGATAGCCGTGTAAGTGACCTCTCCAGTTTGGAGGCGCTCAATACCACTGACCAGCACGTCTGTACATAAGGCCCGCATGGTCCGCTTGGTCCAGTGGGTGGTCAACATACAGCCTGCCCTTAATTCGATCCGTGTGGCACGGTGTGAGAGGGATTCCAGACTGCGGACATCGATGCCCTGCCTGCGCGCATCGACGCACCTCGTGAAAGTAGCCGCGCGATTTGCGCATAAAGGCATCCTGGATTGTGCCGCCCGCAGTGTCCGCGCGACCATGTTTCCGAAATACCTGCACTGCCCATCCCTTGCGTATCCTGGTCCGGTCGCCATGTCTGGTCTTGAAGCGTATCAAGGATAGCGTAAATGTGTAGATGTCACAAATTATGCTGTAACGTGCTATGAGGACATCCTTTTCGGGGGCGGACCCCCAAAGAGGGTTGGTACTCTTTTGGCTTCCCTGTCAGACCAAGAAGGGTACCATCGAAAAAAAGGCTTGCTTGGCCGCAAAAGCCTTTGATTTGGGGTGTGCAACCACAGAACATGCGAAGAGCATGGAAGGTCGGAGCTGAGAAGACCAGTCAGAAGCGACCTGTGCTTTTCGGAACCCTGTTGTTTGTTGGGTGTCGCTGGTTGCTGGGCAAAAAACCCTGGGTCTCCGGAAAGATGTCAGGGGTTCTCCGTAGTTTGGTGAGCTTTCATGGATGGTTTTGGGGGAGTTGAAGCCTTGGTCCAAGCTTGGAGTGAAAGTGCGTGACCACACCACCAATCCAACCGAGTGGAGAGTCTCTTTGAGTCTCCCCCTAGTTTGGTGGGTTGTCATGGGCCTTAGTGTTCCTAACCACACCAAACATATGGCTGTGGGTCAAAAATGGGGCAACCCCCAAGTAGAACCCTGGTAAATGGAGCCAAGGAGAAGAATCTGCGGTTTTCTGGTGGTTCAATTCTGACATATCCAATCCAACCTTGGAGAGATCAAAGCTTGGGGTGTCTTTTGGGATCAGCAACTTGGAGTTCGCCAAGCACATCTCCAAGCCACTGGAGCCGAGCGTCCTCGGGAGAGGCCCCTCGGACTTTGTGGGCAGCTTCATCCTGAACCTGGTGCTGCCGCAGATCGCCGGGGCGGCCTTCTTCGCCACCTGGCTCCTGGCGAGGTCGGCGAAAAAAGCGTTGCGGGGGGGGTCGGCGAGAAAAAAGCGGGGGGGCGGGGCAGGTCTGGTGCCTGCCGTTCAAACCAAGCTCCAACCTCCCCCTGCACCCCAAAGAAACGGGGCGGGCTTTCAAAAAGCACGGTGCCTTGCCCTAAGGCACGTTTGTGCCTTTTTCTCCTGAAGGCGTCAAGGCATATTATGTTTTGCTTTTGGTTAATGAACAGATCGCAAGGTCAAACAGTCAGGTAGTCCTGAATTGGTGCTTTGGATTGGTGGATTTAGATTTCAAAATTTGACCACTAGTTCTTGTAGAACGGGAAGCTCCCTAACTTCCGAACCGGGCTCCGAACCACCACTCCCTGAGGGAAGCAAACCTGTCCCCGAAAAGACGCGCGCAGGATCTCGCGGATTCCGAAGCTCCGCATGGACGGCGACGTGGTTTTGGGCACCTACGGCGGTATCCTCAAGACCTTCTTCGTGACGGTGGCCTCTAAGCGCCGCGCAAAAGAGTCCAGTCAGGGCGGATGGAGGTTTGGGCGTCAGAACATGGTTCACCGTGTCAAGGTTGACAACACACTGACCCGGTTGAAAAAAAGGACCCTCTCACCAGCTAACATGGAAGTGCACAGAAAGACTACGTTCCTCTTGGAAACGGCCTTTTGGCACTTCCATGTTAGTTGGTGGGCGGTAGATCATGTACATGTATGTATATATTTATATATACATATCTCTTTATTGAGGCATCTTCTTTTGTTGTGAACCTCTTCGTGGTAGCGAGCCAGGAAATTGGGTGACCTCAGAATTGGGGTCTGCCAAGGGTTCGGGGGGGAGCTTTTGGTTTTTTTCAATTAGGGACTTTCCAAGTGACCAGAAAACCTCTGAAAAGTTGAGATGTGAAATGGAAACAAGCCCTTGCAAGTGGTTTTTAGTGGGACGGAACTCGCATTTCGGCATCACGGAAAGGTCGAAAGGGGCCGGGGAAAGGGGGGTCGAAGTTGCCTCGGATGGGTTAAATGTCACCTTTTGGGTCAAGGATGAAGTTTCCCTTTGGGATGATGTTTGAAGCAATCCAGTTGGGTAATTAGGAAGGAGGCAGGTCCCTCGATTTCTCAAAGATATGTTCATACTGTGGATGGACGAAATCCTACACCACCTAAGAAACCCTGGAATGATGATTCAACTGCAAATGCCAGCCAACAACTTCAACCATGCTTTCAAAATGGTGCGAAATGATTTTCGTCCACCAACAGTATGAAACGGCTTGCTGATGGGATCAAAGAGCACTTCCCCTTCTCTTGTCGCGGAAGGGGCCCTTTTGAGGGCTGAGGCCATGGCTGATCAGGCCATGTGGAGGACTGAGTCGAATGTTTCCTGATCGGTTGGGGTGTCGAGATTGTGGACCTAATGGTTACCCTACATATGGAAATAGGGGTTGTACTCCTAAACAAAACATCTAGCGCTATCCAACTATGGGCCGCTTTGCGCGGCGGCTTTGAACTGTGGATGACCGGATCTTGCCACAGAAAAGGCTTGGCTTAGGTTCCTGAACGGCTCCAGACTGAGTCTTGGAGCGGCTTCCCGGACAGATTCCAATGCGGTCAGTGGATTTTGGTGTCTACTGAGGGGGGATGATGCGGATGGGAGGAAAGGGTGCGGCCCGAATTGCCATGCAGAAGTCAGGGGAGGGGAACCTCACGAAATCTGATGTCATTGAGCTGTCATGATAGCTTTCCTATAAATGTCCCCTTTTGGGTGAGTTTTAACAGCGCTTTTGTTTGCCAAAAGGTGAGTTGTAGTGATGTTTGGCTCGAAGTCTCGGGAACCCTGCATTGGTAAATTGGGGTGGACGAGTTCCAAATGACCACGGGCCGAAGCTCAAAGGCTCCTAAATCATCACGACCGATCCGGGGGTAAAAATCGGACCATGAAGCTCCGCTTGAGGACTCCTGATTTTTCGGGTTTGCGGAGGATCGTATTTTGCCCGGCTCACCTGTGTATGATTGTTGTTGAAGGCTGCGAGTCTGCGAGTACCTGTCTTTGGTTGGTTGAACGGACGCCAAAAGCAACGCCACTACTTTTGGGTGTTTCTCAAAATAAGGGGTCCCCTAAGCATGGTGTTTCGTCCTTTTTGTTTCCCTCTTAGATGCCAACCAAGCCGGGTCCACCATTGGACAAGCTGAAAAAAAGCTTCTTCACAGTGAGGTGCTTCTCGCTCTTCACCTGCTACGTGCACCCCAACGGCATGCAGTCCATGCGCTCGAGCCCTGAAGTCCTGCAGGGCTCCGATATCTGGTCCAGCGCCTGGGGCCAGCTGGGGGGCGGAACCCAAATCGGGCAACCCGTGGCTCCATGGAAAACACATAGCTCATCAGCTGGGTATTAGGTCCGCGAGTAATTCGTGCCCTTGTAATTACCCCTTTTTTGGTTGGGAGGGTTCCCCTACTAAAATAGACACCAAGTTATTCTAACCTCTCAATTCTGGAGGACCTAGTCAGCTGCTTGCATTCAGCATGGGCAGGGAAGCCCGAGCCCTCTTTGGAAAGAGGAGTTCGAGACAAAACTTTGGTGCATTTTGCTTGGATGTTAGCACTTTAACTTTTTGCCAACCAATGGGTTTTCCATTAAACCACCGAAAGTCAAACTTTTAGCAGGGGAGCAGCAAGCAACCGAGAAAAGGAGAGGGTTTGGTTGCAGCGAGTTGCAGAGCGAAGGCTTTGGTTCGGGCCCTCAGTTGCAAGTGGTATACAAAGTCAACCCATTTTGGGCCAGTCATCCCTATCCGCACAAAGGGTATTGTGCCATTTGCTTGGACCCTGGTGTGAAGAGCATGGATTGGAGCGGGCCCTTGAATGTCTCTTTGGTGGGACCATTCGCGAACCTTTCAGCAACCTTTGTTTTATCATGGTGGAAAATGTGTAGTTTTTCGCGCTCATCACGAGCATAGTTTGGCTGGAAATAGATGGCACTTGTTTAGATAGGTTTTATTCCATTCACCAGGGCCATCCATATTTCCAAAAGGTCACCTATGATCCGGAGAAGTCTAGCTTTTTGTGCAAAGGTCAACGGCCAGCATTCAAAGTCCCATTGGCAGTGCTTGCAATTCAGCTTGCTTTAGCTGAGTTGTGAAGACATTTGCGAGCTTGTCTAACGTAGGGGTCCGTGTTTTCTCATCTTGTGCCTTGGACAGGGTTCCAACAAGGGTCCTCGTATTTCCTGACTGTTTGTTGTCGCTTTGGAGGGGCGGTTCTTTACAGTAAGAGATGCGCACAACAGCTTTGCATGCGACGACCATCCAGTTACAATCAGAATTACCTCCTTTTGCAAACGTGTGCCTCACGCAGAGAGGCGGGCTGCGCCGCTCGGCGCAGCAACAGCACAAAACACAACCACACGCGGCTACTTGTCAAGCCCAGAGAATCTTGTTTGGGACATTCCAACCAAAAAAGCGAATGTATCGCATAGACAGGGATGGCTCTTCAGCTACTCTTCATGGTCCATGGGCTCGGGAGACGCAAGATGGAGTTGGTTATTCTGTTCTTGCTTCCCCCCAAAACGGTGTGTCCTTTTGGAGGGTACTGAAAGCCGCCGTTTTGGGGTCCCATGGGTGCAACAAGAAGACTCAAGAATCGCTTTCGGGGGAAAAAGCACAAAAACCAACAAACCTGGACCAGGCGTCCTTCTGCAATGCTTTTGCATAGCTCAAAAGTAGCCCTGGGCTTTCTGTTGTCTAAGGGAAGTACATAGCCCTTGTTCATCCGCCTGGGCTTCCGTGGCTTCTCCACTGAAAAAAAAGGGGGATATCCTGGATGGGCATGGAAGAACTTGGATCAGAAAGGCCCAAAGGTCTGAGCACATGGGACGGGGCAGGTGTTTGTGTCGCCACTTTTCAGGTTGCTAAGACAACGAAAAGGGGTTGTTTGCACATCATCTGCCAAGGAGCCATCCAATTTGGATTTTTCATTTTGGGGATTTTGGGGAATGAGCCGTTCGGGGATCCAAAAAATCATTTCACGTCTCATTCCCGGAAATTCTTAGCACCAGCGAGAAGAAGCGCATGAACCGTGGTTCTCTCAACTGGCATCAAGCGTATGGCCTTTGGGGAAAAATTATCGACACCCCTCAAATCATTCCCCAGCAGCGAATGTTTGCGAGAGGGTTTTTTGGTTTCTTTGCTCCGGGGAAAGCAGCTTGTTGCCTCCACTAGATACTCTCCAACAAAAATACAGCAGCGTAGACCCCCGCTAGCAAAAAGATGGCGGATGATTGCACATCAGCACCTCTGACAGCACCCTGCGAAGAGCGCAGCACACATCGCCCCCCCAAACCACGCGGCCGTCAATCTCGCCAAACATGCGCCCGCACTCCTCCAACAGCACCCCAAACAGCGTGCGAAAACAGCACCTGCACCAGCACCCCAAACTGCATGCCCCAGGCACCCTGCCACCAATCTTGGAAAAACAAGAGCACCCCAACACAGCACCTGCACCAGCCCCCTAGCACCCTGCCGTCAATCTTGCAAAAATGCGCCCTGGCGGTAATCTCGTAAAGAAAGCGCCCGCACCGTGACCAGCCTCAAACAAACAGTCAGAACTGCGCCCGCACTGTCACCTGCATGGCAACATGCGCCAGCACCACAAACAGCTCCCCAAACAGCACACCCTAACAGCATTTGCACCAGCAACCAAACTGTACGCCCCGTACCACCCAGCCTTCAATCTCGCAAATCACTTTCCCCTGTTTGTTCGAGGTTAGAACGCTACCTGGGGAAATATATCCACTAGTTAGTTAATTACTCCATTTCGGGACTCCAAAAAAACTATCCACTAGTTATTGTAGTTACTCGATTTTGAGACTCTCCAAAGAAACCAATCTACTAGTTGATTAGTTACTCCAAGAGGCACCCTCCAAATAAACATATCCATTAGTTAATTAGTTACTTCATTTTGGGACTGTCCAAACAAATGATTAACTATATCTACTAGTTAACTAGTTACTCCATTTTGGGACTCTCCAACAAGGAATATTATTATATTTAGTAGTTCATTGGTTACTCCATTTTGAGACTGTCCACAAAAAAAAACTCCCGGCGCGTTCCAAGGCGCCTCAAAAGGGGGTACCGGGGGTCATCTAGGTCCCCGGTAGTGCCCTTTTACCCCCTTTTTTGGAGGGTTCCCCTACTATGTTACCCTTATTCGAGCACCTCTCAAATCTGGAGGACCTAGTCATTCTTTTTGACTTGGATCCCCCCAAAAACGAAGCAAATGTCAAACCCTTACCTGGGGCACCACCTCCCCCCTCCCCCCTCACCCCCTTTTTCCCCCTTTTTCCAGGCCCTTTTTCCAGGGCCTGGAAAAAGGGTCCAACGCCAAGCCGGAGCCGGAGCCGAGGCATGGTGGTCTTCGCGGTCTTCGCCATCCTCGTGAACTGCGTGGGCCTGCTCGCCTTGCTGAGCTGGGCCATGTGGGTCGCGCCCAGGACCCGAGCGCCGGTGGGAGCGCTGGGAGCGGGGGACAAAACACACCCGCGCGCGCGCTGGGAGTGGCCGTGTTTTCTTTTTTTTTGGAAACACCGGTGGGGAACTCCCCCCCCGTAGTTGTTTTTCTTCTATTTTTGTTTTTAAAGGACTTTTGTTGAATATCCTACAGGGGTGGCTCCACAAAAGCCACATCCAGACCGCCCTCCAGATTGAAGGGCCCTTTCGGGCACCTCGTCAACGCTGTCACATGGGCGTGTTTTTTGATTGAGGATACCCTTTTGGGGGTGGGTTTAAGGGGAAACCATAAGGAACGCCCACCATCTTGGGGGCCCCAAAAAAATCAACACACACACACACACACATATACTGGAAAGAGATGTTGTTTGCTTCACCATTGAGGGAAAGCAAAGCCCACAGGGTTTGGAGCCCAAGACGGCAGGGCCCAAAGCCCACAGCGAGCCGCGAGTTTCCAAGTCAGAAAAACCCGGGTTTCCCTTTAGCCTACTCCCCGAGTCAACAAATACCCTGCCTGGCTGGTCATTTGCACCAACAGGTACTTGTTATTTTGGCACTCATTTCCCCTCGGCACAGGATCCCCTCCCAAGTTGGACTAAACAGTCTAGCCCCCTACGTTGGTCATTTTCCCCAGTGTCTCGCCATGTTTCCCAATGCATCCCACCCTGACGCCCCTGAGCGGTCAGTTCCCCCAACTAGCTACCGTTGACAACCGTAGTCCCCCCACAGCTGCTGACCAACCAATACTCCTCCCTAGGATAACATGCTGCATGGTCCCTTTTTCAAGGGCGGCGCATTGCAATTTCCACCTTGGATAGACCCTTGACTCGAGTCCGTGACCTGGCAGCTACTTCCGTGGCGAGGAAATTTCACCTCCAGAGCTTCCGCATGCGCTGGAAGTTCATGTTCATGAAAATGCGGCCCTCGGCGCCTTGGCATTTGCCGTTCGCGGTCAGAAGTCGGTGCGGTGGGGTCCAAAAATGCTGCGACTGAGGTCATGGTCTGTTTGCTGCAAGTTCTAGCCATGCTAATAGCCACCGGGGAGTACACCTAAGTATATGTTACATGGTCAAAAGACCCCTGACTGGAACGGGATACCGGAGTACTCACCCAATCCTCTCTGCATGGCTTGAGTACCAATATGATATGCGTTGGTTTCTTTACGGTGAAAACCATTGCAGTGATTGCAACCTGAATTATTCAGACCACACGCAAGAGCCAGAAATCACAAGTTGCTGGATTTCCCTGTCAGGGGAATGCATGACTTGGACCCAGACAGCGCCGCTCAGCCAGGTGCACTGGTGGATGTTGGTGATTCTCTTCAAGGCGCAGGGCAGTCTTGTGGCTTTATCTTTGGTGCATTATGCTTGGATGTTAGGACTTTACCTTTTTGCCAACTAGTGGGTTTTCCATTAAACCACTAAAAGTTAAACTTTTTAACAGGGGAGCAGAAAGCAGCCGAGTCATGTTATCAGGTTAGTCAGGACACGAATCTGCTTGTGTGGGGTCCGAGATGAGCTCGTCTCATTGGATCCTTTAGGGCCGTGGGCCCCGAAAACCCGCCGCCGTGCATCGGCTGCCAGACGAAAGGGGCAGTTTCTGTTGGTCGCAGAGCCCCGCAAATCGCTCAATCCATCAATCCATGCATCCAGGGTCAAAGGGTGTCAAAGGATGTCAAACGCCGTTCCTCTTGGAACGGCGCTGCAATTCTGATGTTTTGAAAGATTGAGCTCGCCCGCACGCGGGCTCGAGAAAGAGCAGAAGTTGTACTCTTTTTATGGTTGCGAGGGATCCTGCTTTTCGGGAAATGGCCCGACAGGGACTCGGGGTGGTTTGCGAAAAGAAGGATGGGGGAAAAGAACGGAGGAACCTGTTCCAAGTTTGCATCTGGATCTGAATCGACTGCACAGGGTGATTGCTATGACAGCTATGAAGGTTCCCCACCAGAGGCACTCCTGACCGTGGGGTTGGATTACCGCAACTCGCATTCAGCGCGAGCGTGTGAGTATAAACCGCAAGGGGTGGAGCTTTCCCGCAGAAATCAAAGGCCCGATACGGGTTTCTGCGTTTGATGAGGGTCTTTTTGTCCGCCAAGTTCTTGTTTCTGGCCAGCCCAGGTGTCACACAAGGCACCGCCCCGCAAAGACTCTTGAGCGATCTGACAGCATGGGGCTCTTGACCACTCTCTTTCCGAAAACCGAAGTGGGTGTGTTGTTTGTCTTTTCAGGAGGGCTGTAGTTTTTTGATAATTCCATGGACCGAGAATCGTAGCCACTTGAGTTTGAGTTGAAAACACCCATGGAAGAATCTGGCGCGAGCGGGAGCAAAAAAACCCGACCCCGCGTTGGCCCATGCATCCGACTGCATCCGAGAAGCCGAAGACTGCAGGGTCTCTGGATCGCTCTGACCTCGGTGCTCTTCGTCACCACCATGCTGCAATCCCTCTGGGTATGCTTCGGAGCCCCGCCGTAGAAGAGGGTCCGGGGAGGGTCCGGAAAACTGCCGGGGGAAACAGAAGTTCAGAACAAACAAAAGTATCCCCAACTGATTCCCAAAATTAGACAACAAACCCAAAGCTCAAAGCAATCAAACACTATCAAGCACAAGTCAAAACCACACCCGAGTTTCCTTGAAACTGGAATCGCAAAATTAGACTCCGTACAACTTCATAACATAAATCTTACAATGTATTTGAATCATCTGAAATGTTCTATTCCGCATCCTTCGCTTTCTTCATCACTGTATCCGTTTACCCACACCAGTGAACCGGGTGTCATTTAATTACATTTCACATGTGTAACCGTACGATACACTATGTCTATGTAATGTAGAAGGTCGACACATCTGAACAATGAATTGCATGCATCATACGCATTGTCTACGTTTTCACCATGTGTATCCCAGAGATTGTTGCTAGTGTCGATGCCCAACGTTTAATTTGTTTCATCTTTTCAAGTTCCAACATGCGGTTGTTACCATTTTATGGTTTTGCTCAGTTGCATCTTGCGACGTTGGTACAGTTGCAGCTCTTCAAGTTTTTGGGAAGTCTTCTCCACTAGATGTTAGACTTTGAACCGGCGAGATCCGCTTTGACGCGCAATTCGTGAGACAAGTAGCAGCGCAACTTGGGCGGGGATGGCTCGAAGTAGTAGTTATTAAGCTGTCCAGGTTGCTTACGAACCGGTCTTGTTTAAATGGAGCTGTCAGGTGCTTTTAATGAACTTGTCAGGGTTGCCGGTACGATACTTTCAGACGCCATCGGCCACGCGATGGAAGGAGAGACACGAAAGAGGGTGTTCTGCTTGAGGGGGTCATTGGCCCTTGATTTCCTCGTACGTTTCTTGAATATATGGACTGAGCGATGCCTCTCGTTCTCGGTCATGGCCTTTTTGAAGGTCACATGATATGTTTTTTCGGCAAAGTTGGACAGCAATGTCGTCGAGCAGCTGGGGATATTTCTTGCCACGTGGCAATCTTGGCAACTCGGTCAGAAGAACCGGTCATGGTTGTTGTTGGGAAACATTTACATTTTTTTCTTATTGTGGTTTGGTGGGAAATCCCCACTTAACTGCTATTTTTTTTTTTTTTCATCCCCTTCCAATGTCAACCAAGCGGCGGCCCACTCACCTTCCGGGCAAAGGCAACTTCTCACCTCGTTGGTTGAAGCCTGCAAGGTGTGAAGTTGCTTCTCCTTTCTCTCTTTCTCTCTTGCTTTGGCACCCATCTGGAGAGGGACAACATTGGCAACATCCGAGGCAACTCGTGAGGCATTGAGGATGCGCTGGGCTGGATGGTAGTCTGGAGCTATATCAACACTCAAGGCAACGGAAGCCTTATGGCATCAAGGACCTCGCCACAGCGTGTCCGCGCCAAAGCCGAAGACAACCCGCATGAAGGGCGATGTTCAACATGCTCCGGCCCTTTGATCTTTGTCTTGTTCCAAGCCCACACCAAATCGACACCTCAACACCTCTCACCTCTGGCACTTTCATCTCTCTTCGGCTTCCTCAGCTTGGAGAGACAAAGTCTGGCACCCTCTGACCGAGCGATTTCTTCGCAAAGCCATCGCCGTCTCATGCTCCCAGTTGCCATTCGAAGAGGCAGGACGCTTGGAAAGGGTGTGCTCCACGCTGCACTTGAACAGCTCAATCTTGGAACTCCCAAGGTCAAAAGCGCGGCCGCCGTCGCGACGAATATCCTGGACTTCTGTTCTTAGTCATGGTTCCTCCCGCCTTGCATCGTCCGTCAGCTTGGCTGCAATCATCGTAGCCAGCTCAGGCTGGGTCTTCTTGGCGTCGTGCCAATCAGCTCAGCCTTCTTGTGGTCCTCAACGAGCATATGCTCAAGTCCCTGTTGCCTGTCATATAGGCTTCAATGGGTGAGCCCTTCAACTGTGAGGTCAATGTGGGAAGGCGCAATGTATGCTAGAGTCACATTGGAAGTGCGACGCTGAGCCACGATGAGAGGCATCGCCACAGCACCTTTCACAAGAAAGCGCTTGAAGCGAATTGCCCTGATGAAACGCTCATTTTGCCTTTTGCCCAGGTGCTTCACATGGTTGTCGTTGGGAACCATTTTACATGTTTGCTTATTGTGGTTGAGTGGGATATCCCCACTCAACTGCAAAAATCAATCTTTGCTCCCCTTCCAACGTCAACCAAGTTGATTCAAAGGACATCTTGAAGGCAGAGCGACGGCTCGCAAAATGAAACAGGTCAGGCACGCCTCTTCAACATGCTCAAGGTCCCCGGATGTCCCCAGTGCGAGGGCAGACATGCAAAAACCATAAACCCCAAACAAGAAGCAACCCCATGAATCTTTCCATAGACATTGTAAGATTTGTGTTTGAATGTAAATGGAGCATTTTAGCTTGAAGGAAATTAGGGGTAACTTTGAATCATGGTTCATTATTGTTGTTTGTCTTGGAAGTTGTGTGGTAAATGGCGCATTTTAGCTTCAATGAAGTTAGGGGTGATTTTGATTTGTGTTTCATTGTTGTTGTGTATGTACATATATATATATATACACATTTGGAATGTATGTGGAATTCTGGGAGTTGTTCCAGGATATTCTTATTGTGATGATATTGCATTTTTTTCCTCACCGCATATGCTTAACTGTTTCTGTGACTTGACCCCCCTTTACTGTTTTGGGTTTCAGCAGACAGGCAACAGGTGTCGCAGGTTTCTGGAGTATGGTGAGTTTATGAACCAGGGAAGCTTAACAGGATTCAGCACTCCTTCTGTGTAGTTTTCTACCGACACGACAGAACCCCGCTTTTCTCATTAGGCCCGTCTATTGCCCCCCAAAAAAGGGCCCGCCCAGAGGTAGACGGCATCCGTGACATTTGGGAATCGACCCGAGGGCTGCTGTTCTACACAACCTTTAGCTACATTTATTTGCCCTGGCGTTCCGTTTTCGTGGCGATGCTGGACATCGCGACCCACATCTCCACTTTGCTGCTGCGCCTCGTCTTGCGTTCATGTGGCAAAGTTCGGTTTTTGAGGGTCGCTTGGCCATGGGTCAAAATCCCGCAGGGAACATCCCAATCCAACCACTAAAATAGGTTCTAACATGGGTGGTGTTCACCTACCCCAATATAGGATCCTATTGGTTTTGAAAATAGCAGTTTCAGCGAAATTGTTGGTCGGGCTTTGGAGTCGTTTGTTCGGCGCTGGGGCTGTGAACATGGCGATTTCTATGGCAGCACCCTTTTTGCCACTTGCTGGCTGGCAGCGCTCACCTTTTCCCGCAGAAAGCTACGGGTGCTGCTGCGCAGTGGTGGAGGTGCTGGTTTTGTGGTGCAGAGTGGTGCTTGAGGGGCAGGCGGTTCTTGGGTTGTGCGTACGCGGTGCTGGGCCAAGTCCAGGTTCGCTGTGGCGTTTCTCGTGCCCAGCACGCCGTTTGTGTCTCACTTCTCAGGAAGCCTTGCGCATGTTTCAACAGCTTTTCCCGCCCTGAGTCGATTTTTCCCGTCTTTTTGAGCGTGGCGGTCTCAGTGGAGCCGCGGTTACCCCCGGCTCAAGAGCCGGACTGGCTAGGTGCCTGCTGCTGCCCTTCCTGGTGGACTTCGCCCCTGAGGAGCAGGACACGGCTGTGCGCCTCGAAAAAATAAGCAAACAAAACGCGAGAAAGTGCAACTTGAACGCTTCAACTGGCGTCTATATTTTCCTGCACACTAAGTGAAATCCAGAAACAAACGAGCAACATGCCGAAGAAAGCCATTTGGAGGGGTTAGGGGGCGATGTTTGGGTGGCACATGCCTGACTGGTTGTTTCTGCCTGGACTGCGAGCCGGGAACGGTGAGCTATCATTCCATGTGTTTAAGAATATTTGTTATTTTCCCCTGTTGGTTTTTATGGGAATCTATCACTACTGGAAACATTTCATGTTTCCAGGGGACTTAAGCAAATGGAGGTATCGATTTCACTGAGGATGATCTTCGTGGGATTGGCTGCCGCGGGCTTTCTCAGTGACTCAGCTGCTTTGAAGCGGCGTTGGCGTTTCGCTTTAGCTGGCAGAGAGTTGGGGCTGGGCAGGCTGAAATTCGGATTGGCCCCTCCTTCCAATCATGGCAGCTGTCACGAGGGTTTGGGAATACTACTGTCCTTTAGGGGAAACACCTCCGTCCACTTCCATTGTTTGGAGGAGGTTTATATTATAAGGGATGCTGCCCATCTGTGGGATCCATGATCCGTTCACTAATCCCAGGCCACCTTCGTTACGACTGGGGGCCAACATACATGTACGCTCGCTGAGACCCCATTTTAGTAGGCGTCCCAACATGCTTGACCCCAGCAAAGTGCGACGTGCGCGCAGACAGCGGCCACCGGCTTCGTCACTTCCACAGCCAGACCTCGTGTGGTACGCTTTGAGCAGGTTGATTGTGATTGCGCGCGCGCCAGCTTTGGAGCCACGCCGATCCATGGATTTGCCCGCGTCAAGCGCAAAACGAACCTTGCTGTCTTGGTAAGTGATGACACCAGTGAAAGCGCTGGCGGCGTGTTCAAGTGGGCCAGCCGGCCAGCCCTGGGTCCTTGGTGCTGTATTCCACCAGCAGAGCAGGCCGATTGACGGCGCGCGAGATGCAGTACTTGCTGCCTGTCTCGGCAGTCAAGCCCGCCTGCCACCACACTTCACCTTCGAGCGCCGTCGGTTTTGAGAGTTTTGTCACGGCCTTGGCCTGCGCATCTTGCTGCATCTTGTGGCCTGAGGTCCGTTGTTCAACAAGCCCTTGTTTTAGGCATTCCTCGTGCAATGGTGCTGAGACGTGCGTGCAAACTCCGGCGTTTGGAGGTTGGTTGCTCCTCGCCCTGCCTCTGGCGCTGAAATGAACTGACATGGGACTTCGAAGCAAGTGCGGCCGGGGCGGAGGCTACCCTTTTCCACCAAACATGGGGACCTTAAACAAAAATCACACCCATAAGCTTTAGTTTTGTTTCGAACATTCAGATTTTCCGTCCCAGGTATCGTTGTGACAGTGACGTGGACGCTGGCGAACGGCTTATCTCCCTGCTGCAAAGCACGCAGGCGATGGCCGAACCCAATTTTGGGGCGTTTGATGTCGGACAGAGAGGGCTGTGTTTCCATATGGGCATGGGTCAAAATTAAATCACCAGACCCGCAGGTTTTAGTGCACGTGTCCACGTACCAGGGTTTGTTTGACCCGTTTTGCCATCTGCCAAAGCCGCAGGGAACGCAAGATCGCGCACTACGCGGAGCGGATGTCCAAGATCTACAGCAAGGCGACGGAGCCCCGCATCCTGTCGCACATGATGACGGAGATCCCAGCGCTGGATATCCTGGAGTTACAGTATGCCGGGGACCCAATAGCCGGTCACTTTTTTGACGATACTTCTTGCTTCTTGTGTTTCAACTAGTTCCCGTTGGTCATTTAGTTCTAGCTAGTCACAAAAAGCTATCTTTGCTCTATTAGGGCCAGGCGTCTTTTAGGGAGTTACAATTTTTGTTTTGTTTTAGTGATTCTAAATATCCTAATGTATTCTAGTTCCCAGACTCAAGCTTGCTGCAAACTGTTCTAATCCTGATTGTTTCTTCCTCTTTCTCTGTTTATCTGTGCGTCTATCCATCTATCTATCTATCTATCTGTCTAGCTAGCTAGCTAGCTAGCTATCTACTTACCCACCTACCTACCTACCTACCTACCTACCTACCTACCTACCTACCTACCTATCTACCTACCTACCTGCCTGCCTACCTACCTACCTTCTATGTAATCTTTCTAGCTACCTGTCTACCTAATCTATCTATCTATCTATCCATCGATCTATCTATCTATCTACCTACCTACCTGCCTGCCTGCCTGCCTGCCTGCCTATCTTCTCTATCTAATCTTTCTAGCTACCATCTGTTTTTTCTATCTTTCTATCTGTCTAACTATCTATCGATGTATCTATCTATCCATCTATCTATTTATCTACTTATCTTCCTATCTGTCTATCTATCTATCTATCTATCGATCGATCTGTCTATCTATCTATCTAGGTGTTTGTCCGCGTATTTATGTATCTAGCTAGCTAGGTATCTATCCACAAGATAAGCAACCTTACCTATCTTATTTGTTTTTTCTGTCTTACATGTCTTGTTTCTTCCTATCTATCCTATCCTACCCTATCCTATCCTATACAGCTAGCAACATAGCATCTAATCTAATCCAAATCTTATCTAATCTGCTCTGGCCTACTCTAATCCAATCTGTTTGTCTATTTGTCTATCTATCAATCTGTCAAAATCAAGTCGAATCTGGTCTATTTTAATTAATCTATCTAGCCCTGAGTGCCCTTTAGTTTCTCTCGGACCAAATCCAACCTGTCATGACCATGCGTGGGAATATATCAGCGTATCTGATTGGCGCCCGTTGTCTGGGCATGCGTTTGACACTGGGACAAGCTGGCACCTCAACTGCCCGTCTGAGCAAATGAGCATGCACGGCTCCAAGTCGTCGGATGAGCACCGCAGAGCAAGCATAAAACTGCGGCCCAAAGACACTCCAAAGACATCTCCAATTGTGGTCCACTTCAGTGCTTGCCCTGCGTCTTTTTTTCCGGGCAACATATGAGACATCACAATTGCTTGTTCGTGCACAAAACATGGCAATCAAATCGGGCTCTGGATTTCACCCCTCGTCCCTGCGTCGAGTCTTTAGGTGGCGGACATGATGTCAGCGGAGATCTTGGGCACCCAAATCCCCGGACGCCTGAACTGGGGGGAGGAGCCCCCGGCGCAACCCGTGGCCGATAGTTTCACCCACGCAAGCTCCCGGTCGCAGGTAGTTTGGACCTAAGCTCCGTGTGGAGCAGGCGCTCACTTTCCGAAATTTCCCGCGTGTCGGATTGTCGGACCTAAACAAAAACGCCCCAGCCACGGAAGTTGAATTGACTTGCGCTTTCCATGATAGTTTCTGGGCTATCATGAGTGCTACTCTTGGAAGGTGTTCGAGGGTACTTGTTGGGGAAGACCACTCGCGTTTTTTCTTGGCAAGATCATGATAGCCCACACACGTTTCAAACGGGGCTCTACGAAAGTGAGAGGTCAATGGATCAGTTTGAGCAGGGCTGTTCAAAATCAACCCAAGATCTTGCAAGATGGTTTTCGGGATTGTGGTGTACTAGGGATGACTGAAAAAGGACATGGGAAATTCCCCCCAATGCATTGGGGTACGTGTGAGAGGGGAAACCCAAGAATCCATCTTGGTGTTCCCTTCGGCTTCCCTTTCATCTGCCTGAGACGGGTGCCCTCAAAACGATGATGCACACGCAGAGATGATTGGTTTCTTGGTGGCTCCCAGCCATCCCCTTAGCTTTTTAGCCTTTTAGTGCTTAGTGGTAGTTTCCATTTAACCCACTAAAAGTTAAACTTTTAGTGGGGGATGTGAGGGCAGCCCAGGTTTGATAAATGACTGGGGAGACAAATCTTTTTCCCCCACGCGACGGAAATTCCGCTTTGAACGCCCAGAAGGCTGCAACTTCTCCGAGCTGCCTGAGGCACTCGCGAGCCAAGCTTGCAAAGCGCCTTGAGCGCGAGAACGGGTCGCTCGCCGGAGCCGGGGGAAGTAAGAAAGGAGAACACGCAACATCAGAACTTGTCATTCAAAGAAACATCTATGTGATGAGAAGGGGCGACGGCCCTTACTCCGGTTTCCGCTGTCCTGTTTGCAGAAGGCAGGCACCTGATTGTTTCAGCACGCCAAAGAAGAGCTGGCAATGCCACCTCCGTAGGACCGACCTACCTGAAGGATCGTCATGAGAGTCTTGATGCTGATTCATTGAAATGGAACATGCGGGATTCGGAGCCCATCCATTCTGTGGGTGGACAAAATCCATTTCGCACCACTTTGAAAACAATGGTTGAAGCCATTGGTTGCTATTTGCAGTTGAACCGTCAGAAAAAAGGAGCCAGGGTTTGTTGAGTGGTGCGAAATGGGTTTTGTCCAGTGGAATGCTGGATGCAGATGGGATGGGCCTATGGGCACGGGCTTCGGAGTTTGAAACGAAAGGAGATTGGATCAGAGGGCCGAAATGGGCTGAAACAAATGTGCACCTGAAAGGGCGGGAAACCAGAGATGAACCGACAGGCATGATAAATTCGTGTAGATTCTACAGACAGTGAAGGAAGAAGGGAGTGAAGAAGCCATTCAAGGTCAGATATTACTTGGGGTGGTTTTCCTGACTTCCTTCTCTGGAATCCCACGGCGTCTAGAAGGGTTTAGGGGGTCTGTCGTTTTCATCAAGCACGCCTGAAGCGGTAAACCCTGGAAGCAAATAGGAATGCGAAGGGAGCAATTGTGAAGAGTCTCAAAGGCGAGCAAGATTCAAACAAGACTTCCCGACTGAAGAAGCGGCACTGTTTGGGCGTGTGCATTTCTTGGGATCAGGTACTGTCAACCTGGGAGCAAATCCGGCGCAATTCAGGGGTGGTCTCCTGTGGGGAATTGTACAATACGTTTTAGGGGGGTCCCAGAAGAATCATGTGACCTGCCAAGGAGTTGGAACGGACTAGTAAACTCCTGGTTGATTTGGATCGTGGGGGCCCCACACGCTGTTGCGACTATTTCCGCAGTTGAGACGAGGGCGGCGCTCAGGGGCGAGCAAAGTCGGCGCTTCCTCTTGAACACCCCAACATGGCACGATAATCTAACATACACAACATGTGCCGCTCCCTTCCAAGAATCTTGCCAAGCGTTGGGGTTTTCGCTCCCAGTCGCTAGTCGCTCCCAGCTCGCTTTTCCCACCAAACCGATCGCATCCGCGTCTCCGCGTGGCTCTCAGTTCCACGCCAAAGGAGCGTGGCGTGTTCTTGTTTGGTGCAACATGAAACCAGAGCTTTCCATTCGAAGACGTGGCCCAAGGGCCTTGCGCATTTTGTCCAGTTCCGCAGTTGCTGGACTTCGAGCTGTTTGGGAAGGCCATTTTCGTGAGCCATTTGTGTTTTGGGAAGACTTAAACAAGACACTTAAGGCCATCTTCGTGGTAAACAAGAAGTTCAAACCTTTTTTAGGCACATCCACTCGATGGGAAGTGAGAAATCTCAGTGCCGAAGGCAGTGAAGCCTCATTTTCTTTTTTTGTGAAAGCCCTGGCATGGGTGCGTCTTGGTTCAGGGGAGCCCTTAAAAGGGTGGATTTGTTCCTCTTGGTCTCCCTTTGAAGCCGCACAAAGGGGTAGCCTTCAAAACAAAAACACACACACACACACACCCAGCCCCGGCATCTTTGCTTTTGGGAGCGTTGGCTTTTTCGGTTGGCTTGGCAACGGAGCGCGTCGAGTGAGCCATGAGCAAGTCCGTGGTGGTGCCGGGGCTGGATGTCTTCCAGAACCTGTCGGCAGAGGAGTTGGTCGAGGCTCCCAAAGATCCCGGTTCCTTCGCTTTTTGGCTTTTCAGTTGGTTTAGTAGGAGGGGGGGTTCCATTTAGCTCACTAAGAGTTAGTCTTGCTGTGGTTTTTGCTTCTGCAGTCCTTTTGACATGAAAGTGGTCTGTTGCTTGACTTATTGCCTGGATGGAAGGTGAAAGTGCCACCTTTGGTCGTTCGCTTTTTAGCTTTTGTAGAGGGGGGCTTCCCAGTTAAATCACTAACAGTTAGTCGCTTTTTCACTTTTAGCAGGGGATCTGAGGACAGCCCAGGTAAGTGTGCTTGAGCATGATTACATGGCTCTGTCACTCGTTTCTTGGGGGATGCTCCCTTTTTTTCCCTGTAGGCGTCCCTTTAAAATCACCAAAAAGGGGGTACCCTCAACAAAGGACAGCACATGGCAGTGTTTTTTTTTTGGCTCTTATCATTTCCCGGTGTCTATGTTTCCAAGAGGACACCAAGGCTCGAAGGCCCTTCTCAGAAAGGAAGTGACCCCGATCCCTGCTGCATGAAATATGTTCTCGACATGCGGCTGCAAGACTTGGGGCAACTGCCGGGATGGAAAGGCCATCAACCTTGAGGATTTTGCTTGAGGATTTCAAGATTCAAGGTCAGACTCGACAGACCAGGAGAGTTGAATCCAATTGCGCACGTGACCTGGTAGTCTTGGGGCGTGCCATGACCAGACTGCTTCACTTGGGATTGATAGGGATGATCATCAACTTCAGGTTTTAGCAGTAGAATGGCAACCTGTCCCACAATCAACACCTGGGCAAAGGTTAGGAGATCATCCACAAAAGATGCAGCCGCTCGGTTCTTCACCTCTCCCCTCAACTCCATGTGCCCGTTTTTGCTTCTCGCCAGAAGCGGCGCGAGAAGCTGCAACATCTAGTCCTCTGGCGGAAGCTGAACGATGGCCAGCTGTACCAGGCAAATTGCACCGGGCTGGGGTGGCGACAGCCTGTCCCTTCCCAGACATTTGGGGGGATGCTTTTGATGGTGTAGAATCCATTTCGCTTTTTGTTTGAAGCGGGAAACGGCTTGGTGTTGGCTATGGGGAGAATGCCGATGCCAGGCCCTTGAATTTCAGTTGCTTGCTTGCTGTTGCCACCGGCTTGTTCCATTGAGCCAGTCAGAGGTGTCCTTTTTGGGTTCGTTTGACAAAAAAGAGATGGCCTTGGTTTGCGCGAGTCTTGTTCCATGTACCAGGGCCATCAATTTTTCCAAAAGGCCACCCATGGCCACTGCGTGAATAGCCTGGTACCAGCCATGTCGTCGGAAAGACTTGCGCCCGCCGGTTCAAACCTTGAAATGCTACCTCTGCCACAAAAAGTAGGGGGAACACCAGCGATGTGAAGTCTGCACACCCGTTTTGCCTTGGGCATACTGTTGTTGTGGTCGTTCGGGGGCAGCAGAAGATTCCCCTTTCGTGTTTTGGAGCTTATAGTTTTCCAAATTTACCTTCAACCAGGATTCAAGTCCCAAATCGCCACTCCAAGCCTCCATGTCTTCCATTTTCTTGAGAATATGCTCTTAAAAATTCCCCCTGTTGGTCCTGAGAGGGAATCTACCACTCCTCGACAGATTGTCTGATTTTTGCCAGGGACCGAAAAAGCAAATGGGTTCGATTTGGGGGTGACCTCAAAAAAGCAAGCAAAGAAAAGCTGACCTTGTATAATTCAAACAAAGCTAACCTTCATTTAAACAAAAAGCAGACCTATAAAAAAGACAACACCAATTAGGCTGACCTTCATTAGAGAGAACATCAGCAACAAACCGGGGGGGGGAGGGGGGTTCCTGGCCTCACTGGCGCCTCGCCCCGAACGCTTCAGCTTTCGGCGCGCAGCGAAGAACGACGCTTCCAGGTCACCGTGAAGGACGTGGAGGAGCTCTTTGCGATCTTCGACGTGGAAGGCCTGGGGCTCGGTTCTGCGAGCGTCGTGAGCATCGTGAGTGCGCGCTTGGGGGCAATGGACCCTTCGGGCGATGGCTTGGGGGAATGGCCAGGGAATGGCTAGGGAATTGGAGGGTTCAATGGTTGCGACTGAAACCAAGAGAATACCCACTTTTTGGGGCTCCCCCACAAAAAGAGACTCCCAAGTAGGTGCCGTGGATGGTTGCGAACTCCGGTCCTCGCGACAAGAAATGGCTGAAACCTTTGGTATTTAGAGAGGAATCACCGTTCCAGGCTTTCTTGGGAGCAGGATTTCGTCCATCCGCAGAAGGGACAGTCGACAAGACCCTGTTGTCCAAGAAATCAGATACCAGGAAAGCAAGGGGTTCCTCAGACTTTAGTGTACTGTATTTCTGTCAGGGTCCAGCACAGAAAATTATCGAAATCAAAGGCCCACCATAAAGGGTTCCAGAAGCGTTGATCAGCAAAGTCCTGCATCAGGGTGGATGAAGCTCTATACTATAGGATATATCAACCGCCACCGGGTCCAGGATTTTTGTGCATCCACAGTAGCAGTTGCAAAGGCCAAGGTGACATTTTCTGGAGGTTGCATGTTCAGAGAAGCCCAGATTTGCGGAAAAGAGCCATCCGGCTTTGCCCCCCCAGTTTCTCCGGACTTTGCGATGCATTTGCCTAGGCGATCTTCAAAGGCTCAGAGGTTACCCTGCGTCCACGTTTGGGGCCCTTTTGACATCTCTGCCCTCAAGGTGAACACGCAACAAATATTTGGGCATGGCACAGAGAAAACAAAGGAGAAAGCTCGGGCAAGCCGCAGGGTTCTTTTTGGTCTTTCCAGCTACTAAGCTGCCAACCAAACATGGGGTCGACCCTCAACAAAAATGAAATCCATTTGGTTGTGGGTCATTTCCAATGGACCAATGGAATCTCATGTTGGGGTTTTGGAAAATTCAGCACCCATTTTAGAACCTATTTGAGTGGTTGGATTGGGATGTTCACTGGGGGTTTCCGGCTTTGGCTTTTGACCCATGTTGCCATTTGGCTAGAGCGCCATGTCGAGGTGGCCTTGCGTTTCCAGTTTGATCGAAAAAAGAATGGGAAACAAGGAAAACACACAAGAACCACTATATATATATACAAATATATATATATATATACATATTTATATATGCACATTTTGAACAAGCCCCTCCAATGAGATCCATTTGAATCCATTGGATTCCTAGGCTTCCGGCTTGTCGCCAGGCTTCGGAGAGATCTCCCTGGAGGAGCTGATGGAGATCAAGAAGGCGGTTTGGTCGAAAAGGGTTGGTTCTTTTGTTTCTTCTCTTTAAGCAAAAAAACGAGTCTCAGCACCAAAAGGTTTGGGTTTTGAATTTTTGATTTTTCAACCTGTTGCTTTCTTTTCTTCCGAGTCTCGGGGCCAAAAGGTTTGGGACTTGTTTCTTCTTTGTTCGTCTCAGGACCAAAAGGTTTGGGGCTTTGAATCCCATATTTTTTCGAGTTGTTTTGGTTTCAATGGACCTTTTTCGGCTTCTCCTTCTTCCATAAGAATTGGAATGATTGCATAGCATTGTGCCCTCGACTATGATGGAATGATATAACTATTTTGGGAATGTCAATAATTGGGCCAATTCTTGGAATTCAAAAACGGACACCAACGGAGAATCGCCACACTGAATGCGCCCCTGGGTCTATTTTGTCCTTCGGCTCATGTTGCACAGTTCGACCAGGCGGAAGGAGAACCTGATATACCGAGCCATTGTCTGAAGGCACCACAGGATTTCTCCGAAATGAGAAGCTGGTTGAAAATTGGCCCTGATATATCTTTCCCCGTTCAGTTGTGATCTGGACTGAAATCCAGAGCGAGCGAGCACTTGATGAAAGCCCACTTCCATGTTTGTTTTGAAGAGAGTAAAGCGTTCCGTTCAGTTGAGTTGCATGGTGTGCACCCAAGGGCCCAAGGGAGCCCGTTGAGCTAAAACCCATTTAAGGGGTTGGCCCTTCAGATGAGAAGTGACAAAGCTATGTCAAGCTGAAGCGGCTTCCTGATGCCCCGGGTGCACTTTCCTTCATTTGCTGACGAAGTTGGCATTTTGTTGACTGCTGGCTGTTCCATTATTTGTTCCCTCCAGCAACAAATGCAAGGACAAATCCTGAGGTGGAAAGCAACAAATGGACAAATCGATTTGGGCATCTCAAATCGATTTGGGCATCTCCATCAAAGCAAGGACGTCGCATCGAAGTGCGCCCCTTGCGTTGCCCGCATGCGGATCGTCGCCGAGGTCAAAGGCTTGGTCCTGTCGGCGGAAGATGTTCAAGCCCTAGGCGCCTCGGACACCATCGGCCGAACGCGGAGAAAGTCACCCACATGGTGTTTCCCCCCCCCAGTTTTGGAAGGGGTAAGGGGGAGCGACAGATTTGGGATGCGGTTTGGGGGGACATCAAGGAACCGGGCATTTGTAGGTTTTGGTTTTCTGGCTCTGAATTGGCTTAACCAACCGGATCTTTGGTCCCGTCTACTAGGCAGGGACAATTGTTGCAACGATTGTGGCTGAGAACAACCACATTGGTATCACAAGCGCAATGCGTTTTTCTTCAGCATACTTTGAAGGACAAGTTCATGTTTGTTTTTGTCTTTTTTTTAACTAGCTCACATTTGTATCCTTGGGACCCTGAAACACCAAGGGCGCGATGCGGACAAGGACGGGTCTGGGCTGGTGAGCGTGAACGAGCTCTACAAAGCGCTGACGCAGGGAGAGGCGTTGGCGAGGGCCAAGCGCTTTTTCTAGGGCGATTTTTTTTGAACAACCGGCCGCTTTTCCTCCTAACAAGGGAAAGCAGAGAAAAGGGAAAGCAAAGTAGCAATGTGAGGATTACACTGGGGTTGTGAGTGGGGGGATGGGGGGCGGTGGGCAACAGCGTTCGTTGTTCACTGACAACATGCTGCTACTCTCATGCGGTATGAAAGTCTCATAGGTCAAGTGAACAGCCGCGAAACAACCCCCCCCTTGCAATGGACCCCTTGCTGTCAATGGTAGCTCAATATGGAAACAATACCCCTTCCGCAGCAGAGCATGGACGTAGGGACATGCAACGGTATGTAGGTCCAGAGTAATTAGTAAGGCAGGTAAGGGTCCATTGACATGGCCCCCTTCTGATTTGAAGGGGAGCCAAAGCAGAAACCGCCACTTTTTTTTCTTGTCCCACATCTTTTGAGAAACCCTTTGACATGTCAGGTGGCCTACAACCTTATCAAGAAGTCCATCAATGAAGAGAGCTTCATCTCTCAGATGGGAGACGGAGCAGCCAGACAGCACTTAAAAAACGCCGTCGACGTGGCGCCATGCTCCCAACTGGCAAATTTCATGTTTCCTGGCGCCCAGCCATCCGGCTTGGTTTGATGGTTGTTTCCGCGTTTTGATTCCACGAACAGTTCGTCAGGCAGCCCAGTTTGGTAAGACACTTTGTAGCCACCGCCCAGCGATTTATGGTAGAACTTGCACGTTTTTTGTGTTTTTGTTTTGTTTTCATTTTAACGTTACGATGTCTTGTGGAGCACCTTTGTCTACCCACGTGTACTCATGTGTTTTTTGATAGAACGCCATTGCACACATGCTAAGCGCCAAACATAGCTTCATGCTGTTCCTTGAGCATTTGATGATGGGTGGACCTTTTGAGCCTTATAACTTATAGTCTTTGGTAGCATGCCTGCAATCGTGATGGCCTCGCAGCTTCTTTTACAACAACAGCAGGCTAATCTAACGTCCGCGCAGCCATTAAAAAATCATCTCTTTTGACCAGCCTGACACATCCTGATCGCCAGGCGATTCGTTCTGGGTGTTTGTGGAACCAAAGCAAGATCGAGTAGTTTCTGTTGAGTCACCAAGTTGTTTTGGCCTTCTTATTGTCAACGATCATGGAGTGATTCGTCAAGGTATTGTTTGTTTGTATGGTGTCTTGGGCTGCAGGCACGCAGGCCGGTGGGTGGCATAGTGTTATCTATTCGGAAACATATTGCGTTAAAGTAGTCCAGGGGTTCAATGCCTACACATGTCAGATGCAACCCGCTCAAGCTAGCGCCCAACTCCAAACGTCCTTTACACGCGGTTTCATGAGTAGAACATCATCTGCAAACCTTCTGAGCTTGTGGGCAAACATGTAGCCGTAGGTGCGCACTTGACTTACCTCAGAGTAAGGGTCCACTTGGGCAACATTTTGGCTTAAGTGGAGCATTCCGGTCTTGTTTTGACTTGAAATCCCTTTCCCGCTATATCCCCAAAGCCATGTACGCTCCAATGTATGCGGTATCAGCATTGCAGAGGCAAGGGCTAAGGCCAGGGCCTCCATGGGCAAGTCGGTGGTGGGGCTTGTCACTTCGCCGCGTAGGCTCAGCGTTTGGCGCGTCACTAACATTACCCTTCCTCCCGAAAGTCTGCTCATGTCCATGGCATTGGTTAGAAAGAACATGAAATTGCATGGAACGAACATGAGAAATCCGATTGCGAAACACGTTGCGTTTCATAGACGCCGAATTGTTGTCCTTTCGGAATGGATTTGTGACAACAATACTTTTATATCCCTATTCTTTTTAGTAGGCTTTGCCAACAACTAGAGATTCCACTGGTGATTGAGACTGGAACGAGCATGTTTGAGGGAGATGGAGAGACAACGTGCTTAGGAATTGTGTATCAGCACAACTCTATCATGTTTGTGAGAGGTGCAGATGTAGTTGCAGCTTAAGAATATAATATGAAAGTTAATTCCGAAGAATGGCAAGTATTACAGCAACTTCTCAAACAATATAATTCTGACGTTCCTTACGATCACGTTCTTAACGGCCTTTGCAGAGTGATCGTTGCCCATCCATAAACAGAGATAAGGTAGTTGATTTTGCTAAATTGATGACTCTCGGCTCTTTCTTTAGTTTATTTCTTGATGTTTTCCCCCAGCTCTTGTTGTAGCAGCAGCTGGGATAGCAGAAATGTAATTCTCCCTTTGCGCCCAATACTCACTTTTCGGTATGTTTTTGAACAGCTTGGTTTTAGTCAAGGGGTAGCATTATTGGAGATCACAACCTAAGCAAGCAGGTATCGTGCGTCGGGGGCTAGTTGCTTGTCTTACAAAACCATTCCCCTTCCAAAATAAAGAAGGGCGGCTCACCTGAGCACAGGGCAACGCCAGGAAGCAGTAATGTACGGTGTGTCACTGGTGTTTTTATCAACATCACCAATGTATGCATTTGTTTCTTTTGACTTGTCTCGCTTTTCGGCTTCCCAACCTTTTGTGACTTTCCGACTTCTCGTGACTTGTTGACTTTCCACACATTTTGAGTTTTGGACTTTTTGCAACTTTTGAGTTGCCGACTGCGGCTTTTCAAGTTCCGTGTGGTGGACTTTTTGACTTTGTCGATGTTCCGCGGACAAAATACTGATTCTCACCGTGTGCTGCAAAGCCCACCGGGTAGCCGCAGAGTTTCTGTTTGAGGGTGCCCCTGTTGTGGTTAGAGGAAACCAACAGGAACACTGCAAAATTTCGCGGCGCCTCTCCAAAAAAGGACGGGCCCATTTGTTGAAATTTTGGTGCTCCACCGGGCCCCCCGAACCCGGGCTTCGGGGACCCTAGGAGTGCCTCATCGACGACCTCATCGAGTTTATGAGGCGAGATCCAAGGGAAGCAACAAACACTTGTGCAAGTACTACATGGTTTGGTTTTGGTTTTGGTTTTCTCGGTTTTGGCTTCCTTGCAAAAATGGTGTTGGTTTCCATGTCTGGTGTGACTGACTAATGGAACAATCAAATTGAAATTTAGCTGAGGCCTACATCATGCTTCAGAGCCGGGGCTACATAGTATCCCTCCCATAAAGCAAGAACGCCCAGAACCTGACGCTGTTTGTGGAAAGTTGTCTTCTAAGGGGTCCCTTTCAGGTTTCTACGTTTGTGGGGGACTAAATGTGCTTCTTAAGCCTCCCACGCCCTCCTATATGGCCATGGTATTAGACGGAGGATCCCTTAGAATTGGATCTTCCAGATACCTTTCGAAACAGATGCCATGTTTGTCATGTTGCCTCCGAATTGATGGTCTGCTGTGCCAAACTACAGATACAATCAGTTCTTGGTTTCCCGTAAGGGAAACCGAATTGCAGATAGTCAGTTGTTAGTTTCCAGTAAGGGAAGCCGAAAGGAGATGGACATACGCATGCTTTTTCAATTACCGAGGCCCCTATTTGGCGCCCAGTCTGGATTTGTTGTTCGGACATTTGAACCCCCTGCAATCCATTCCTGCTGATACAGGGATACCTGCCGACAACTACTTGGGGTCTTGGATTGTTTGCGATTTCGCCACTTCTGTCTTCAACGGGCATCCCTAAGCACACATGTCTAAGAAACGCATAAATTATTTTCTCTGAATGGGTGCTCTTTTCAATGACTCTTGCATCCGCCATTTGCAGAGTCGCCGTGCAAGCGTGAAATGGGAGAGTTTCCGTACAACGCTCCAGCTGAAAGCCCTGCTCATGTGTGCAGGCTCTGTGAAGCCAGCCAGTTGTGTTCCATGTATATCTTGCGATATAAGTGCAGTGTACGAGTTGCCACTAAGGGGGGCCTGCCCGAGCCCAGCATGCGACCTGATCACTTTAGTGTGTAAGAATGTGATGTACAGCCTGATCAAGACACTGCCAACCATTAGCCATGTTTTCAAATTACGCTGAAACATATGAGAACCTTGCGGAGGCAACTCCTGAGCGTGTCAAACCACATGCGCTAGAGCAGTTATGCAAAAAGTGCCACGGAGGCGAATCCAACATTTCTGCAGTGTTTTAATCGGTTGCACATGCTCCAAAAGCGCACCGTTTTTGAGAGGATTGTGGTCACTTCACATGACGTCTTGGCTGTGGTGCGGGGCGGGCCGTCGCAAGAAGCGTGGAAGGTCCCTTGCTGTTTTTTACAAAACAAATCAGGATCATGAAGCATAGTCTGCGCCCTTTTTTTTGCGGCCTCTGCATCGGCAGGCACGAGTATGAGACCAACTCGGCGACTTGGCTGCGATTCACTTGGGGCTCTGTATGCGACACAGGGCCCCCTTGGAGGTGATGTTGCATCAGTGTGAGATCAACACTGTCAACACACGGGGCAATAAAAAAAGCCGACCCAATGAACCTGCGGCGGCAGAGGTCACCCTGGGACTTGTCAAAGTCCTGTTCGAGGCTTTGGTTCCAACATATCTTGGGGAGAAAGTTTCTGGCGGGAAGCTGGCGACAGCGGCAGCTGCGCAACATGTCTTTTGTTGAAACCAAAGTTGGGCTCCCTCACTCTGCAGAGCCGTCTCAAGGAGTCACGTTGCTCCCAGAAAGGGTCCCAAAGTAAGCCCAGCAACCTGGTCGATGTTGCACCCCACCTTCATTTTGTTTCGCATGTTTCCATCCCTTGAACCCTTGCTGAGGACCTTTGGTCGCTACCGCAGACACTGCTGCTCTTCGCTGTCTTCCAGTATTGCTCGGCCTCGCACGTGCCCATGCGCAGCCTGACTTACCCGCGGGGAAACAGGAGGCGCTGTCAACATCATGGACTCGTGGAGTCCCTTTTGGAGCTAGACTATCGGAAACCATGATGTTATCGGTCCACCGCTGAAGGACATTCCTCTCCAAAACGCAACCCGAAATCACCCCTAAACCTGCCCAAACCAACCACAAGCCAACCCAAACGTGAACCCTGGGATGCGATTGAAATGGTCCACATCCACTTGCAGTGGGCAAATTTGCTGGAAGAGCCATAACTGTAGGACCCTTCACAGGGAATTTAGAGGATCATTGCAAGGGTTCCTCCGTGACTGCCATGACAATGGCCATAAGGATCTGGACCATGGCAGAATTTGTTGGGCGTTCATTGTGTGGAAGGACACTTGCGTGGCAAGAACGCTTGGAGTGTCGTCCAGTGCGAGGCCGCATAAAACCTGTTGTCCAGCAGATCCATGGCATGCTGCAGAAGTGGAATTTCCACGTTGCGAGCTCGCTGGTGCTTTATGTTGCAAAACACGTTATTGCCAGATGGGAACAGTTCCAAAAAGCAGATCCTGATGCAGAGGTGCTAGGGGTGCCAATTGGCAACCATGTTCAGGAGCCTTTGTTATGCCAGGCACGTGTACTTCCCCCTTGTTGTGCTTCAAAAAAGACGTCCAGTTTCTGGGGTCCCGGCTTTTGGTTGAATCCCCACCGGATTGTCCCAAGATAGACCCGTCTATGGGTCTTCCTTTGAGGTTCCCTTTTGACAACCCCAAACGTCCACTGCCCAGCCGCTGTCCGCTACGACCCCCACAGGTTGTTGTCTCCTCTTTTGGCGGCCGTTTGCCACACTGAGGCTTTGGATGGGAGACCGCCCGGAACTACGCCGCGCCTCGGCCGGAAGAAGCATGCAGGTTCCGCGCGGGCAGAAAGCACAGCGCTGGGACCTCTTTTGGCAGGGCTCCCTAAAAGATACATTTTGCCCGGCCTTTTCCGCCAAAATGAAGGGAAACCAGTGGAAGGCCCCTGCAGAGAACTGGTCGCCAGCGGAGCCCCAAAACAGCCAGAAGGCCCTTTGCTTTGTTTCTGGTCCTTCGGGGGATCGAACAAAGATGCCCCTTTGGTGCACGGCGCACGGCGCAGGGCATCACCAGGCCCCGGAAACGGGTCGTGTCTCGCACGCCCGTCTCGAAGTCTCGGTCGCCCTTTAGATTGTGGGGCTCGGACCTACGAGCTCAACCCAGCAGCTCCAAGCGACCCTGGCTTGCCGGACATCAGGGGGTCCTTTTGGCTGACGATGCCAAGCGGTCTTCGCCGGTCGGGGCCAGGTCGAACCCGCCTGAGCACGGACGGCCCTTCAAGTTTTTGCAGGTTGAGACTAGATGGCAAAGCAAACTTGCAGGTTGAGAATATATAATATTATAATATACATATATATATATATTATACATATATATTGCAAAGGGGACGTAGAGACTACGTAGACCAAAATGGGTGGGAACTGTATCACATCTACGTTTACCCAACCGGTTGACGAACACCGCCCGAATCGAGCTACTTTGTCGTCTATGATGTGCTGGACCCCACGCCTGTTGGGCTCCTGGGCCTGCGGCCTTTCTGCCACGCGATGGGGGACATGTCAAAAGAGGGGCGCCCCCCCCCCAAAAAAAAGCAAACAAACAAGCAAACAAACAAGCTCGGTTTGGGGGTTTCCTCTTTGTTTCCCCAAAACTTTAGAGCCTCCGGCTCAGTCCGCCGACATTGTCCTCTCCCTTTTCTCCTTCTTCCTCTCTCCCTTGTCTCCCTGGTGTGTTCTGTCGTCCTCTCTCCCTCCCTCCGCTCCCCATCCTCCCCATCCCCCCAAGCCACTCTCTCCCCAATCTCCCTCTCTCGTATGTATGTATGTATGTATGTATGTATGTATGTATGTATGTAATGTATGTATGTATGTATGTATGTATGTATGTATGTATGTATGTATGTATGTATGTATGTATGTATGTATGTATGTATGTATGTATGCATGTATGTATGTAATGTGAATGTGTATGTATGTATGTATGTATGTATGTATGTATGTATGTATGTATGTATGTATGTATGTATGTATGTATGTATGTATGTATGTATGTATGTAATGTATGTATGTATGTATGTATGTATGTATGTATGTATGTATGTATGTATGTATGTATGTATGTATGTATGTATGTATGTATGTATGTATGTATGTATGTATGTATGTATGTATGTATGTATGTATGTATGTATGTATGTATGTAATGTATGTATGTATGTATGTATGTATGTATGTATGTATGTATGTATGTATGTATGTATGTATGTATGTATGTATGTATGTATGTATGTATGTATGTATGTATGTATGTATGTATGTATGTATGTATGTATGTAATGTATGTATGTATGTATGTATGTATGTATGTATGTATGTATGTATGTATGTATGTATGTATGTATGTAATGTATGTATGTATGTATGTATGTATGTATGTATGTATGTATGTATGTATGTATGTATGTATGTATGTATGTATGTATGTATGTATGTATGTATGTATGTATGTATGTATGTATGTATGTAATGTATGTATGTATGTATGTATGTATGTATGTATGTATGTATGTATGTATGTATGTATGTATGTAATGTATGTATGTATGTATGTATGTAATGTAATGTAATGTAATGTAATGTAATGTAATGTATGTATGTAATGTAATGTAATGTATGTAATGTAATGCATAATGTATGTAATGTATGTAATGTATGTAATGTATGTAATGTATGTATGTAATGTATGTAATGTATGTAATGTATGTATGTATGTATGTATGTATGTATGTATGTATGTATGTATGTATGTATGTATGTATGTATGTATGTATGTATGTATGTATGTATGTATGTATGTATGTATGTATGTATGTATGTATGCATGCCTGCATGTATGTATGTATGTATGTATGTAATGCATGTATGCATGTATGCAATGTAATGTAATGTAATGTATGTAATGTATGTAATGTATGTAATGTATGTAATGTATGTAATGTATGTAATGTATGTATGTAATGTAATGTAATGTAATGTAAAGTAATGTAATGTAATGTAATGTAATGTAATGTAAAGTAATGTAATGTAATGTAATGTAATGTAATGTATGTATGTATGTATGTAATGCGATGTAATTTAAAGTAATGTAATGTGATGTTGTGTGATGTAATGTATGTATGTATGTTTGTATGTCTGTCTGTCTGTATGTATGTCTGTATGTATGTATGTATCCTTGCACTTCCCCTTTGCTCCCCAGTATTTCCCGCAAAAAACATTGTTTTTCCAGCGTTTTCGCAAAGATGATGTCCAAAAACACAGAGTTTTTCCAGATTTTCGGCAAAAGGATGCAGGAAGCCCAAGCCAGCAAAAAAGCCGGCAGGAAGTATGTATGTATGTATGTAATGTATGTATGTATGCATGCATGTATGTATGTATGTAATGTAATGTAATGTAATGTAATGTAATGTATGTATGTATGTATGTATGGTAGGTAGGTAGGTAGGTATGTATGTATGCATGCCTGCATGTATGTATGTAATGCATGTATGCATGTATGCAATGTAATGTAATGTAATGTATGTAATGTATGTAATGTATGTAATGTATGTATGTAATGTAATGTAATGTAAAGTAATGTAATGTAATGTAATGTAATGTAATGTAATGTAATGTAATGTATGTATGTATGTATGTAATGCGATGTAATTTAAAGTAATGTAATGTGATGTTGTGTAATGTAATGTATGTATGTATGTTTGTATGTCTGTGTGTCTGTATGTATGTATGTATGTATGTATGTATGTATGTATGTATGTATGTATGTATGTATGTATGTATGTATGTATGTATCCTTGCACTTCCCCTTTGCTCCCCAGTATTTCCCGCAAAAAAACACTGTTTTTCCAGCGTTTTCGCAAAGAGGATGTCCAAAAACACAGAGTTTTTCCAGATTTTCGGCAAAAGGATGCAGGAAGCCCAAGCCAGCAAAAAAGCCGGCAGGGGGAATCGAGCCTGGGACCCCTGTTTTGCGACACCGGGTCCCCGAAGACTACGTTTAGTGGAACGTCATCAAACTGCCGCGCGGTCCTTGGGGGGGGGGGGCCCCCCCCCCCCCCCACGTATCAGACGTCGGGTGGGGGGGGGTTAGGGGGGGGGTTATCCTCTATCCTCTCTTAGGTGTCCGACACGCCGAGCAATGTCGGCGGACTTGGGGCGCTTCCAAAGGCGCGCGCCCCTTAAAAAAAAACAGATTTCCTCTTGGTACCGAACGAACACGAGCCGCGCCAAGGCCCGTGGCACGGCAGGCTCGGGGCCCCAGGGGTAGGGGTCCGTGTTGAATCCTTTTCAGGTTGGGGGGTCTTGGTTTCTTTTTTTTTTGGGGATCCGAAAGGAAAACTCATCCAAAGTGGAGAAGTCATGTTTTTGGTGAGATGTACCCACTTCCATTTTCGTTGGTCCACAGGTGAGTTTCCCTCGGTTGGGGCACTGTGGTATGTTGTATCGTCCTTTGCGGGTTTCCGGCTGCGCCCGGACTCAGGTTTCTATCGCCTCGAGTGGATCTTTGACAACATGTCCTTGTTTGATTATCTCAAGACCTCTTTCTTGGATCAGCACGTCGAGCAGGAGCCGTGTGGGCGGGCTTGGCAGAAATGGGTGTTTTTGTTCTGGAGGGTGCCCCGTTTTTGTGGGTTTAAACAACACCAAAAGGAAACCCGACACCAACAGGAAGCCCACCATTTTTGGGGTCCCCTAAGAAAGACACACCCAACGGTCGCACTTGCTCAGTGGCAAGTAGTTAGGTCTCACCTTCGTCGGACTTGGCTTTGTCTTCTTGCCGCCCCTTCAGTTTTCTCACTTGCCAGGGGGGGGTACTGCTTAGGGTCCTTGCCCCTGGCATCGGTCCATAACAGTGGTAGCGGAGCAGGTTTTCCTGAAAAAGAAGACGTCATCAGATGGAGAAGTATTTCCTGAAGCTTTGCCGCAATCAACTTGTCAATGACCGCCAAGTTACCGACATTGTGTGACGGACGTGTCAGCTGGTTTCGCCCTGAGAACTTTTTGGTGAATGGATGAGAACATCATGACAGCCACGAACTCAAAGTGGGGGCCTCTCTCCGCAAGCAGGCTGAGAGGCGATGCGCTTATATATCGCGAGTCGAAAAAGCGAACAGCTCAAGGACCCTGACGAAGGATTGACCTACTTTGAGAACGCTCCAGCATTTCCTGAAGGAACTGCGAACCGTGTCTTTGCAGGCTTCTTGCTCAGTTCCTTCAATTATTGGAGAAACCAGAGCGAGGGCACAATCTCATCTCTTTCAGTATCAAATGTTCCATCCGTTTCGAACATGGCCACACCAGGATGGCTATCTTGTTGCAACCACCTGCCATGATATCGCAGCGGTGCTTGAATACCAGAGGGAGGTTGCTGCTGAAGACACGCAGCGGAATAATGCTCTTCTATCCTCATGAAGCCCATTTCCTGGCTTCAGGAAGCTGGATTCAAGGGTCTTGACCAGCTCCTTGTCTGAGGTTGCATGGGCTTTGGGCGGCTCTGGATGGTCCTCTGTGCAAGGCTGAATCTGATGCTTCTTCCTGCTTGTTGTCCTTCCAGTCTTGTCCTTCCAGTCTTGCCAAGCATCCCGAGATTGTCCAATTGATTGGCCGAGGGCTTCTGGCATCTTGCTACTTCTGCGGCAAACTGCTGAACAACAGCAAGATCCTTGTTTGCGTTTCCAAGTTTGGGCTTTTGCTTTGGTCAGACGCACGACCTGGCGCCCGTCCGCAGTGAGGACTGCCTGCGTCACCCAAAGCACTCAGCAAAGCCAAATGAGTTGATAAAAGCTGTCCTGTCAGGCAATTTCTCGACGCACATCCACTATTGAGAACAATTTTGCAGAACCAGGCATTTCTAGCAGAATGGCTATCTCACAACACGAAAACACGCTTGGTGTGATCAAATTTGCAGGAACCGGATGTTGGCCTACTGGGGTAACTGTGCGTGATTCTATATAATCACGACGCAGGAGTTCACTGATTTCCCAAGATCGCAAGATTTCACCAGATTTTTACGCGCTGACATGTTCTGTGTGTGTCTTGGCCATCTTTGAATCTCAAGAAATGCGTGTCTGCCGTGGGAGGAGGGTGAGATACTAATGCCTGGGTCCTCTCAAAGACAACCTGGTCTGACCCTATGACAGAGACTCCGGCTCAGGTGAACCCGCGTGCCGAAAATCAAGAAGTGAACGCGACTCTGGAAGATGCGGCGTACCGTTCAGACCCAACAGACACATCGCAAGTTAAGATCACCAAGTCGAACGCGTCGACGACAGCGTCGAGTCCGCCGCCGCGCTGAAGTCCATGACGCATCGCCCGCTCTTTACTCAGAATCTCGACTGAACGCTCCCACGTTGCATGTTGACACACCTCTTCCACTGGAGCAAGGCCGGGGCGCAGAGATTGGCGCGTCGCGGGGCCGTTGAAGACATGCCTATAACAACGAGATGTTGACGAACGGACGATGCGATTCAGGACTGGTATTTTCCGCTGATGGTCAATATCAAGCATGCAGAGAACACATGGCGCGACTCGAAGCGACAGTCAACAGAGCGAGCAAGACTGGACAGATCACAGCCAATGGACAAACTAGCGCGACTAGCGCCAGAGACTGAAAGAAGTACTGCTTGTGAAGTGGCAATAACCCGCGTGACGATATTGCTTCCTCAAGCAGTGCCAGAGAGATAGGAGGTCAGTTCGCAATGGAGACGCCTCATGCACTACAACACAGCCAGCCGTCCATGCCACCCGTATTATTCTATTTTCACACATCTGATGATTTCTTTTCCCCAAATTAGGCCAGCAGGCCGGTGCCACACCGCCTACGCATACAGTGTGCCTCTTTTTGCGTCAATCAACGCGGCAAGCGTGTGTGATGCGATGCGATTGTCCTCGATTACTACCACGCACACTCTACCAAAGCCGCATACACATTCAGACTGTTGACTCACATCGTGTTGTGCGCAGATAGGGATAGGTGGCCTTGTTGAGTGCGCGGACAGACAAGCAAGTAGAACAACTGAGATCTGAGCTCTAGGGGCATTTTCAAGGTTCCTCAACCTTTACTCCTTGGGGGCCCTTGCCCTGGCATTCGCCTATGGGGAGTAAATGGGAGGTAACACACGCAGTGCAACTGGCTGCGCGATTGGGCCATTGAGCACGGGCTTGGGGCTGTGCCGTGCCCGGTGGCGGCTGCTGCCGCAGCGCCCAACGGCAGCGAGATCGCGAGGATCGGCCACCGCAGCTGCCAGGCCAAGCGGCGGCCTCGAGCGAGGTGCCGAGTCACTTCCGTGGACCGGCCTGGGCCAGATCGAAGGTCGGGCAGCTGCCGTGAACGCTGATTCCAGCTATGACCCATGGCAGGATGCTCAGGAAAGTTGCCGGAGGACAAAGTGAGGCCAGACCCAAGGTCGGGCAGCTGCTGCGAGCGGTGATTATAGCTATGACCGATGGCAGCATAAGAGCGACCCGCGGCGCCTCTGTGGCAGCAGCAGCCCGAATATCAGCAGCCTGCGTATGAGTACGAGTCGCTCTTGCGAATGCACATGCGATGTGTGTCGAGCGAACCCATGCAGGCTCGCCCGCCGCCGCCGCCTCCGTCCTGCACGTTGTGGGGTGCGACGGGGGCAAAATGGGGGAACACGTTTTCGGCGGGTTTTGCACGCGTGGCTTTTGCATCGATGGCCCAGCCAGCAAGTTTGGCAAGTCTCGATGCTTGTCTGTCCTGTGTTGCACTTGGGCACAGTATGCTGCAGCGTCACACCTTGAAATTTTGAGTGTGGAAGAAACCTAGCAAGTGCTCCTTTTGCCAGTTTCAGGCACGTGCGCTGCAGCTGTGCGCCTCAAAGCTCTGTGTATGGAAGACGGCCAAAAGCTGATGCAGATAGGGGCTGATGGCACGGTGTCGCGCTGTTGCTGAAAGCAATGGTTTTTCAGTTGTTTTTTTCGCAACATATGTTCGCGTTTTTTGCCAACTTGCGTGTTTGAAAGTGCTTTGACACATGTTGATCGTGGCTAAGCCCTTCTTGCTTTTTGTGAACGGACCCCCAATAATGAAAAAACCCAGCCAACCCCAACATTTGCCAATACTTATTTTCAATTAGCCAATGCGGAGCCAGCACTAACCTCCCTGGAAGCCCCGTGAATCCCAACATGTGTCCACAAGGATCAACCCTTTCCCTACCTTGTTGCCCTCCCTTGGGGTGCTTAAGAAAACGCAGGCAAACAATCGGGTTGTCATGTTTGCCTCTCTCCTTACCTTGCAAGATTGCGCCCAAAAGGTTCCTTGCGGGACACGGTTTCTGTTTTCATTGAAATCGGGTTCCCTTTGGAAGGTGTCTGTCTGAAACAGATCAGGGTTTTTCAGAGATGCGCCAAGCGTTATATTTTTGTTGGGTGGCGCATTGGGTTCACCCGGAGGATTTGGATCTCTACACTCCCGGCCGCTACTTTGGCCGAAGCCAGATCGTCGGGGGCATGCGCTTTAGGCGGGCGCGGGGTGCGGCAGGAAGCGGCCAACCCTCGGATTCTCCTTGCGTGAGAGAGGCGGCGAGGTTTTCCCGCGGTTTTTTGGCATCGCGTATCTGTGAATGTCAAACTTGCAACCCTCCAAATGTCCGATCGCGGTTCGCCTTGCAAACCTTACCTCAAGCGTGTTTTTTTTTAATCCTTTGGAAGTGAGTTCGTTTTATAGTTGATCCTTGTCCTTTCAAATCCTCGGCTTGGGCCCCCTGGTTTACACGCTTATTATATTAATATCATTGCGAGTGCCCTTCACGGAGTTGCAATCAGGGGACACCAAATGGCGTTGGGGGGGCCTAATCAAGTGTTTCCATCTTCACCGTGACGCGCATTTGGGAGTCCTTTCGCAGAACCTGACGTGTTCGCAGGCGCTCTTACACCGAGCCCCAGAACTGCAGTGTCTCCCAGGCAATGCAGAGGCCCGGCCTTGATTTCCCTATTTCGGCGAATGGGCTGTATTGCGCAACCCCTCAATGCGAATCGGGATTGTCCGCTTCTCTTTTCAACCACGAAGCTGATCCAAAAGTCCAAAAACCCAGTGACCTGTTGAAAATCTCTCTGTCCAAAAACCCAGTGACCTGTTGAAAATCTCTCTGTCCAAAAACCCAGTGACCTGTTGAAAATCTCTCTGTCCAAAAACCCAGTGACCTGTTGAAAATCTCTCTGTCCAAAAACCCAGTGACCTGTTGAAAATCTCTCTGCCCAAAAACCCAGTGACCTGTTGAAAATCTCTCTGTCCAAAAACCCAGTGACCTGTTGAAAATCTCTCTGTCCAAAAACCCAGTGACCTGTTGAAAATCTCTCTGTCCAAAAACCCAGTGACCTGTTGAAAATCTCTCTGTCCAAAAACCCAGTGACCTGTTGAAAATCTCTCTGTCCAAAAACCCAGTGACCTGTTGAAAATCTCTCTGTCCAAAAACCCAGTGACCTGTTGAAAATCTCTCTGTCCAAAAACCCAGTGACCTGTTGAAAATCTCTCTGTCCAAAAACCCAGTGACCTGTTGAAAATCTCTCTGTCCAAAAACCCAGTGACCTGTTGAAAATCTCTCTGTCCAAAAACCCAGTGACCTGTTGAAAATCTCTCTGTCCAAAAACCCAGTGACCTGTTGAAAATCTCTCTGTCCAAAAACCCAGTGACCTGTTGAAAATCTCTCTGTCCAAAAACCCAGTGACCTGTTGAAAATCTCTCTGTCCAAAAACCCAGTGACCTGTTGAAAATCTCTATATGTCCCAAAAACACAGTGACCAGTTGAAAATCTCTCTGTCCAAAAACCCAGTGACCTGTTGAAAACCTCTCTGTCCAAAAACCCAGTGACCTGTTGAAAACCTCTCTGTCCAAAAACCCAGTGACCTGTTGAAAATCTCTCTGTCCAAAAACCCAGTGACCTGTTGAAAACCTCTCTGTCCAAAAACCCAGTGACCTGTTGAAAACCTCTCTGTCCAAAAACCCAGTGACCTGTTGAAAACCTCTCTGTCCAAAAACCCAGTGACCTGTTGAAAACCTCTCTGTCCAAAAACCCAGTGACCTGTTGAAAACCTCTCTGTCCAAAAACCCAGTGACCTGTTGAAAATCTCTCTGTCCAAAAACCCAGTGACCTGTTGAAAATCTCTCTGTCCAAAAACCCAGTGACCTGTTGAAAATCTCTCTGTCCAAAAACCCAGTGACCTGTTGAAAATCTCTCTGTCCAAAAACCCAGTGACCTGTTGAAAATCTCTCTGTCCAAAAACCCAGTGACCTGTTGAAAATCTCTCTGTCCAAAAACCCAGTGACCTGTTGAAAATCTCTCTGTCCAAAAACCCAGTGACCTGTTGAAAATCTCTCTGTCCAAAAACCCAGTGACCTGTTGAAAATCTCTCTGTCCAAAAACCCAGTGACCTGTTGAAAATCTCTCTGTCCAAAAACCCAGTGACCTGTTGAAAATCTCTCTGTCCAAAAACCCAGTGACCTGTTGAAAATCTCTCTGTCCAAAAACCCAGTGACCTGTTGAAAATCTCTCTGTCCAAAAACCCAGTGACCTGTTGAAAATCTCTCTGTCCAAAAACCCAGTGACCTGTTGAA